TATTTATTTTTACACAATTCAGAGATATTAAAAAAGAATTGTGGAATAAAATAAACAATATGATAGAAAAAGATAAAGAAGAAATGAGTTATACGAATCTTGGCATATTGTAATTATAGAAACAATAAAATGCAATGGTGTCAGTATAGACTGTACACTGAATTGTTTATAGATAGAATATATGTAAAATTGATTTTAACATATTATTAGACTTTCATATTTATTGAACTAAGTTGATCCTATTAAAATTAAATATCAAAAGTTTTTATTTTTAAAATTTGGATAATTTTGATATTGTAAACATTTTTAAATTTGAAAAAAAAGTGATTATAAATTTGGATTGAGATCTCTACGATTTTTAAATAGCTGTAGAAGATTCTAATTGTCGAAACTGATAGACTTATTAACAAATTATAATTTCAAACATAATTTAGCAATTATCAATTATTGGATAATAATTGAACCATTTTACAATATTTTTTTTTTGTAATAACGAATCACAGTTCCTATAAATTCAATTAACCTACACTTTTATTTGTATCCTTTTTATGACATTTTTATTTACTACAAATTCAGGAAATTGTTATGAAGAGTTGTGTGGGTCAGGTTCTTTAATTGCTTTACTTAATCCTAAAATTAGGGAACAGTTATTAGGTTTGGGAAAATAGGACCAAGCAAGCGTGTCCATAAATATGATTTTTAAGGTTATCTTTGAACCATTCGGATACTTAAGGTTACCCTTTTTATGGTCCATATGATTGTTAGATTGAATTGCTCAATTAGTATTGCACATTGATTGGGCTCAAGGGTAGCCCTATTCCACTTTGAGCAACATAAAAGCCCAATAAATTCTTTGGCTGAGTTTCACATCATTGAGGCCCTAACACGTTTAATGGTTAACAATCTTTAACAATTGTATTACTAACACTCAAACTCGAAATCACATGTTAAATTGGAACTATTTTTAATAATTGATTCACATGTTTAATGATTAAGAACTTAATTTGTGTAAACTTTAAAAAATTTGTTTATGAGAATAAAATAAAAATAAAACAAATAAAATTTTTCTAAATTAAAAAATATTTTAAAAATATAAATATAAATTGATTTTAACTTATAAAAACTTGCCAATTATAAGTGCTTGTTAATAAATTAATTCAAAATATTCCAGTCAAAGTTCAACCAAATCTTATTGGGAGTCCCAATCCAATGAATCATTAACAACTAAGTGACGGTTTGCGTACTGGGTGAAAAGTTATCCAAGATGTTTTTTTTTTTCCTTTTGTTTTGACAAATTTATGGTTAGAAGGTGAATTTTTATCTTATAAAGTGTGCAAATTCAATTTAATTAACTGGCTTTAACTTGCATCAATACCTTCTATAAAATCATTTTTTATTATTTTGAATTGTACGTTATAATTATAAAATTGTTTTCTTTTGCATTTGAATTGGTTCTAGAAGACATGACTAGTGTTGTATGAGCTTTGGTGGCGAGGCTTCGACAAAAAATAGGACAACATCTTGAATAACAATGTATTTAAAATTTTATACTAAATTAAAATTAGTTCATTTAAATTTTCTATGCTACTAGTATCGAATCTTAGTAGTTTTTGTCATAAGCATAATTATGAAATTAATCAGATACTTCACACCCGGAATTGGAGCCACAATCTTAGCCATAATTATGCTAAGAATCAAGAATTAATCACCGATCATGGTTAGTGACCCAACATCATGTTTGGTGTTTATGTCGTTTTACTTTATTTAAAAAGAAACTACGTCACATAGCTCTATCCAAAATCCCTCGATACCTTAACAAAAAGGGTGGTGTTCTTTTTTCTCTTCTGTATATATAGTTAGTATTTTAAACCTGTTATATAGTTTGGACGCTTATTCATTTGCGTTTTCAAAAGGTATCTTTTTGACTTGAAGGGCTGCTTTCAATTGTTAATCATCTACACTTGTGGAATATGAATATCATATCAGAGATTTGTGGTACCAAAAACATTGATTTAATTTTTGCTCTCTCGTAGATTGTAATTATTCAAACGTAGTACTTCAGATTCTATCACTAACAGCCACGAAAATGACAGAAAAATAAGTCATTACCAAAACGAATCGATGGAGCCGCGTGGTGTGTGCATCGATTGCAGACATGATTTGCTCGCAAGAATAAACAAATGCACATTTACAAATGATTGTGACATATATTAATTACAATAAAGATTTAATTGTAATTGTCTTCCACTAGTATTAAATACTTTATATAGAAGCTCTTTCGCTTGTCGTCAAGAGCATATGGCTTATGTTTCCTTTATATGTTGCCATAGCACTAAGCTTTTGTGGCAACTATGATTATACTCACAACATATGTCTGTAGCTTTCAGCTTAATTGCTATGTTTTCTTACTCTCTTTTGTTGCAAGTTTTGATACTATAATTATACGTGAAAAGCTTAGGAAAAGAGTTATTTCCCTATTTAAACTACTTATGAGATTGATTCTCGCCACATGAATGCGAGAGTTATGTATAATGCATTCACCACACTCACCATGCATGAGTCTATTTCTCTTCTCTATCGTCACCAAGATATATTACATAGACTCGTCTGTTATTGCATTTTGTGCTTGCAAGTTAGAAAAAAAGGCATTGGCATTTTGTTGGTACATTCATTAGGTGGATTGAATATTTTTTCTTGGAAAGATAAGGTATATGTTGACTATATGAAAAGGAAGTTTTTCTGTGTTTTAGCATCACATATGTTATTTCATCTTGTTGAATTAATTAAGTTTATTGTAGTCTTTTATATGAAAATGAGTTATACTTTAGTTCTTACGTAAATTTTTCTCTTACAAATTAATTGTCAAGGTTTATTGACGTTATATTGTATTAAAATATGTTTTATATAAAAAATAAATTAAAAATTGTTATTAGGTAGAAATAACAAAATGTAAAGATTCTACAAACAAAAAGTTAGTGTATATTTATTTTATATAAAAATAAAAAATATTATAAGTATAAAGACTAAATTTAATGTTATTAATAAAATATACCCCCCAAAAAAGTATAACTTACGAAAACAATTTGCAACACCTAATATCATAAATTGTTTGCCGAAAACGATATTTAAAATTTGCACAAATCTATGAGCTGTCTACGTCGTTTTTTTATAACATGAACACCACATATATTTACATTTTCATTTTGTTTACACATTGACTTTGTCTCCCACATCTATTGGAAACTGTATATTATTTCCAAATTTAAACGTGTTTATTAAAACTGTTCTTATATAGAAAAAATCCATCCACACGGGGCATGCCAAAAACCCAAATTATTATTATTATTTTGAAGAGGATTCAGACTAATCACGTTTGAATATAGCATACTCCCAAAAAATATTCTAAGATGAGTAATGAAACACATGCAGTGCAAAAGTTTATTTTATGCATTCCTTTTCTATAAAAAATTATGAAAATGAGTAGAATAAGAAGCGTCACGAATGTTCTCTATTTCACTCCTACCACTTTTGGACCCATAATTACTGTACTTATTTGACTCTTCCACATCAAAATCTGGTCCTCAAAAACCAAGTTTCAAGTAACCAGGTAAAAATGTAAGCACCACTCATTTTCTGTCACTTTCTTTGTTTTTTTCTTCGCACCCAAACACCCGAAAATATTAGTCGTTTAGTTTGACCATCTTATTCTATTTCTGGGTCTCAATTTTGAATTTCAAAGATAACAAAATCATTACCCTCTGTTTAGAAGATTCAGCTACTTGGATGGGATAAACAATAGTAAATTATTATATTAGCTTAGAACAAGAGATTCATTAAATCATTTAGTTCAGTTACCAAATTTGAAAATCAAATGTGGTAGACCCTGATTTAGCCTTTAATAATCCAAATTATACAAAAGATTAATAAGACAGAAAAAAGGAACATTCGCAGCCTTTTTACGTTTTATGATTACGGTCAAACTCTGATAATTAAATCCATTTCTTACGTAAGGTTACGTTGATAGGGTACACGTGGACCTTGGCGGGGAGGAACGAGTCTCTTTGTTTTAAAGTTAATTTCTTTTTTATTTTAAAAAATGTATTTTAATTAAAATATATAATTTTAAAAAATTTACATAAGTGTTTTAATTATATTTAATAACTTGAAAATATTTTAATATTAAACTAAACAAATCCTAATTTTCTTATGTGAAACTGATGACATTATGTTACCTTTCCTCGAAAGTCCTTTGGTGTTCATTCGTTGTTGGTCCAAAAGGCCCTGTTTGGTTCAAGCGTAATCCAACAAACAATGACTTCAGTTTCATTAATTAGTAATTAAAGAAAAACTTCTTTTCATTGTTATAATTCACACTTATGCATCAAAAGAACTAGAGTTATTTTATCCTCGGTTTTCTCTAAACATCTTTATGTAATTAACCACTACCGATATATTTATTTTTAATATAAACAAATTGTTTATGTGTGCAACAATTGTTTTTAAAAATAATCTAAAACATCTAAGATTAATGTGTTTGATTTAACTAATTTTAAAAAAATCACTTTTTAAACATGCACTTAATTTTTGAGTTCACCAATAAAATAACTACTACATGTTTTAACAACTCAAATTGTTTTTTTATTTTAAAATACCCCACTCGTGTTATTTATTTATTTACTAAATCAAGCTAGTGTTAATTTATACTTTTATTAATGTGAACGCATCAAATACTTCTATTAATTAAAGACAATAGCATTTTGTTTTCTTGTTAACAATAGACAAACTTTCCAATGTTAATATTGCACGCGCGATAACAATCTTCAAATAGAAAAAACTAAACTAAAAATGAATGCATATTTTAGAAACTAAATGAACAAAAAACGCTTAATTATAAAGGAAAACCAAACAAGACCCAAAATAAAAATGCAACAGTAAGATTCAGAGGTTGAACTAAGAAAACCATGTCTTTGCACTGCAGTTTGAGAAGAGTCCACAACTACTACCTTGAAATTTTCCACAATATACCCTCAAGTCTGAATACCAATTCCTTCAATTCTCTCTGCCAATGAAGCAGAACAAAGTAACGATTTTTAAATGAAGACATCACCGTTTTCTTCCGTCAACCTCCGTCTCGCCGCCGTCACCGTCGTCGTTATATCATTTCTGGCACCCTCATCCCATGCTCTTGGCTCCGGCACGACTTTGGCAATCGCCGACAACTCCGCCACCGTGTGCGGCATCGTGGCCGGTGAAACCACGCGGCGCATTGAGTGTTACCGTGAGGGGGTGATTGTCGCCGTCGTTCCCGACGTTAACTTTACGTCGATTTCCGGTGGGAGGGACTATTTCTGTGGCCTCAGGTTCGGTAACTCCAATTTGCATTGCTGGGATACGATCGCTTCATTCGAAAGAAAAAGGCTTTACAATGATAGTTCTGTTCCATTGGAGAATCTTGCTGTTGGGGATACCCACGTTTGTGCTACGGTGGTGCGTGATGGAACGGTTAGGTGCTGGAGAACCAGTGACACGTTTGATCCACCATCTGGGTCTGATCAATTTGCTTCAATTTCATCTGGGAATGGCTTTTCTTGTGGAATTTTGAGGAATAGTTCTGGGATTCGGTGTTGGGGTGAAGTGAATATTTCGAGGCAGATAGAGAGTGGGTTTGGAAACGTGTCCATGTTGAGTGTTGTAGCGGGTGGTTCTCATGTTTGTGGGTTGGATTCGAGTGGGTTTTTGGTGTGCAAAGGAATTAACAGTTCTGGGCAACTGAATGTTCCTCAAGGTGGGGCTTTTGAATTTTCTGGGTTGGCACTTGGAGCTGAGCATGTTTGTGCTATTAGACGATTGAATGGTTCGGTTATTTGTTGGGGTGGCAATGGGAGATTCTCCGTGAATGTTACAGAAGGAGTTTCCTTTGAGTCAATTGTTTCAGGGTCCAATTTTACTTGTGGATTGACGACGATGAATTTGTCTGTGGTGTGTTGGGGCCCTGGTTGGTCCAATGGTTCAAGTTCTGGTTCTAGCTCAAGGTTTGAGCTCCCCTTGCCACGTATTCTCCCTGGACCTTGTGTTCAATCTTCTTGTAGTGAGTGTGGTTCATATCTTGGTTATCAATATCTATGTTCTGGCTTTGGTAACATTTGCAAACCAATGCCCTGTAGCCCTCAATTAACAGTTCCTCCACCATCATCACAACCGCCGCCGCCGCCGCCACCAATGTCTCCTCCAACATCATCTCGATCAAAGACCTTGACTAGAGGCTTATTGGCATTTGCTATTATTGGATCAGTGGGAGCTTTTGCTGGAATATGCACAATAGTTTATTGCTTATGGAGTGGAGTTTGTTTTGGTAAGAAGAAGGTACACAATTCTGTGCAACCAACGATGACAAGAGGTAGCAGTGGTTCCAATGGTGGGGGTGCTTCCAATAATAGCACATCCTCTATATCATCTGTAATTAAGCGTCAGAGTTCAATTATAATGAGGCGCCAGAGGAGTGGAACCTCATCAACAAAGCACCCAGACAGGGCTGAGGAGTTCACCCTTGCGGAACTAGTAGCAGCCACCAACAATTTTTCACTTGAGAACAAGATTGGTTCTGGAAGCTTTGGTGTTGTGTATAAAGGCAAACTTGCCGATGGTCGTGAAGTGGCGATCAAGAGGGGTGAAACCGGTTCAAAGATGAAGAAGTTTCAAGAGAAAGAGACTGCATTTGAGTCTGAATTGTCCTTCTTGTCCCGTCTACACCACAAGCACTTGGTTGGGCTGGTTGGGTTCTGTGAAGAGAAAGATGAAAGGCTTTTAGTGTATGAGTACATGAAGAATGGGGCATTGTATGATCATTTGCATAACAAGAACAATGTGGAGAAGAGTAGCAGTGTCTTGAACTCATGGAAAATGAGGATAAAAATTGCTTTGGATGCTGCTCGAGGAATAGAATATCTCCATAATTATGCAGTTCCATCCATAATTCACAGAGATATCAAGTCTTCCAACATTCTTCTTGATGCTACTTGGACGGCAAGAGTATCTGATTTTGGATTGTCAATGATGAGTCCAGAACCTAACCGTGATTACCGGCCAATAAAAGCAGCAGGAACCGTTGGATACATTGATCCCGAGTACTATGGTCTAAATGTATTGACAGCAAAGAGTGATGTGTATGGGCTTGGAGTTGTACTATTAGAACTTTTGACAGGAAAGAGAGCAATATTCAAGCATGGTGAAGATGGAGGCACTCCATTAAGTGTGGTAGACTTTGCAGTGCCTACTATTTTGGCTGGAGAATTGGTGAAAATTTTGGATCCAAGGGTTGGACCCCCAGATGTGAATGAAGGAGAGGCAGTGGAGTTAGTATCCTATATTGCTATCCATTGTGTTAATTTGGAAGGCAAAGATAGACCAACGATAGCTGACATTGTGCTCAATTTGGAAAGGGCCTTGGCTATTTGTGATACTATCCATGATAGCAATTCCAGCGGTAAAATCTCTGTTGTTTCAGAATGATAAAGTCAAACCCCGGTAAAGGGGGAAAAATATTGAAAATTTTGTCAATTCTTATTGATTCTTTCTGGTAAGTTACATGGGTATACTCTTGGCCTGTAAAGATTAGGGGTATCATCTAACACTAAGCTGTAGCATTGTAGATTGTATAATTTCTCAAATTTACTAACATTGATGCCTACACATTTACACACTATTTTGGCAATTTAATTTTTCACAATGTATCTCCACATGGCATGACAGATTAGAATTTATCATTGATACCTGATCCATTTCAATGCGTGTACAAGCATACTAATGTTCTTATAATTCTTTCATTCTGTGCATCAAAATATGGGGTACCCGTGTATTTGTCACTGCATTCAAACTAGAGTACCACCTTAGGGATCAATCAGGAAGGAATTAAGTAATGAACTGTTCGAGCAAAATTGTAATGTAAATGTTTACTATTTAATTATTTATAATATAAAGTCGGTGGACAAGGTATTGTCACACACTTCCACTTTACTTGGTTCCATTCAGACTAGGAAGCTACTTGGACTTTCATAATGTGAACCCATTGGATGGGCATGTGGGGGTAAAGTGTAGAAGTATGTGAACAAAAAATTTGGCATTTAGAGCATGAAAACACTGCGCAATTGCGGTCTCATTAGAGCAGTGGAGCCTGCGGGGACTATAACTAATGCTTAATACAATTTATCAGCTAACTATGGTCCCTTTTACAAGTAGACTGGTCTACTTTTGCTTCTCTTTGAACAGTCGTTTCTGACTTGCATGTTGGGCACAAGTTTGACAATGCATATTGCTTCTTTATTACACGGCAGGGACTGTGTAATGACTCACCCCAACTTTTGAATTGACAAGTGTGTGCTTTTTTAATGGATATCTAGACGACTTAGTCTCGCAATTTGCTCTTGTTCAAACAAAGAATTCATGTATGAATTTCTCTCGGATTTTTTAAAGTTATTTAATGGGATAAATAAGATTATCTTAAATAGACTAATAATATTTTGTTTATAAAAATAATATATAAAAAGTTAATACAATTTCTAATATAGCGTTTTAATCTTGTGAGCCGATGGGTCTACAAGTTTAATGGATTATAAATTATTGTATTGGATTAACTTATTTTTACTTTTTTAACATTTAAGATAATTATAAACTGGAAAGAAGCATTCAGCAGAAGATTCAGCTTAGTTTGTCAATTAACTTCAGAATTTGTCAAGAATCCTAATGTCATGTCTGGTCTTCCAATCTCTATTTCATGAAGTCATTCACTCAAGATTTCCAGAAGTATTTAGACTCTCATCTCCTTCAACTTCCTTATGAATAGGTTAAATAAATTTTGTGCTAAATTAAAATTATAGTTGAAAATTATTAAATCTCTTTATTAGTCTTCAATTATCATTGAATCGGAGCACCCAAAAATGCATTTTCTCTTATAGTACCGTATAAAGGCCCAATCCAAAAAGATAGTTACAAAATCACACACGGGGCATTAAACCAAGAGAGCTTTGCCATTTGTATCCATTAAAAACCCGAAGAACAATGTGGACCAGAAATGCAAAACCCAAATATAATATCTATGAACAAGCATTAAACAAATATCTATTAGTGGCAAAAATAAAAGAAGCATATATCTATTGGACCATGATTTCCAAAAATTTCAACTCGGCTAAATTTTTGCATTAATCTAGATAATAGCTATCAGTTACACAGATGCTCTAATTTGTCGTATGGAACAGCATTGACAATATTTGACATGCAAATTGAACTTGATGAGCTTAACATAAACAATTGGTGAATAAATAAAAAAATGATTCGATTTGAGAATATATTGGTTTTGGTTCATTAACTTCATCCATCCAATCAGCAAGAATTATGACCAGACTAAAAGTGTTGTTCGGAAATAATTTTCTCTTCAATGTGCTCAAGCAAAGAATAAGGCAATTGGAACTTAAAATTATCACTTTTATTAAGAAAATTAACATGTAGTTTTGTTCTTAATTTCTTTGGATTTAAATTCGGTAATACCCTTTTATGCCTTTTCGTCGTTTAATTGGGAACTGAATTTTCATCATCTGGCTCTTGTACCTCCCATATTAGGTGTACTGGTTTGTTTAGTTTGCAGTAGCTTCAATAGTAAACGGGAAAAACTAGAAACGATTGAGCTAATTATATTATCTTTAAGACTGATTAATAAATAATTTTTTACTTAAAAATCATACTAATTAAAATATATTAAAATCTAAATAAAAATATATTAATAATTTTTTTACTTCCAACATCGTTCCCCTCAACCGACCGGAAATTTCAATGAACCTTCTCATGTGATTGGTATTGCTTGATGGTAATGTCCCTGTTCCTATATATAGTAATTAACGTGATCGGCATTGTTTTATGGATATTTTCACTTATTTGTGCATTTTTTAGTTCATAATTATTAAACAACAACCTTAAATAATAATAATGTTTATTATTATTATTATTATACCTTTTTCTTTATTTATTTCCCATTAAAAGAAAAAAATATAAAAAATTACTTTGAATAAATAATATTTATTTAAAATATATTTTTATTATCTAAAGCTATTTATGTATTTTCAAAAATATAAAATATTTTCCTTTTATTTTTTATCTAATCAAATGAAAAGAGAGAAAAAATTACCTTCTTTTTTCAAGTTGCTTCATACAATTTCAAAATTATCTCAATTTCCTTCATTTTTCTTGCTTCCTTCCTGCTTTTTCTTTTTCTTTCTTTCTTTTGACTTTCTCATCCAATTTCCTGTCCACTTCCTTAATACATATGACTAGTAATTGACTCATTATATACGATATATAGCTAAGCAAATATCCTTATATACGATATTCACTTAGCATTAACATGGCAGATTTCACGAAGGATGAGAGTGTCCACGGTTTCGTTTCGCTGGTGAATGAAGCTATTAAGAGTAATGGTTCGATCACGGCGAGTTCGGGAATATCCAATAGAAAAGTCCATAGTTTTGCTACGCTAGTGAACAATGCTTTCAAGAGAAGTGGTGAAGCTATAGAAGATTCGGGAACATCACGTGTCCGTGGTTTTGTGTCGCGAGTGGACAGTGCCTTAAGGAGTATTGCTGCAGCTATGGAAGATTGGGGAACATCACGTGTGCCTGGTTTTGCTTCACGTGTGGATAATGATATAAAGAGCAACAGTGTTACTGCACTATCACTACAACTGATATCAAATGCACTAGGAAATGTTATTGAAGGCTTTAGATTGTTCACCCTTGTGGAGCTTCAAGCAGCCACCAATAATTTCTCACTTGAGAACACGATTGGTGCTGGAAGCTTTGGTCTTGTTTACAGGGGCAAACTCTTCGATGGCCGTGAGGTGGCGATCAAAAGGGGTGCAACTGGTTCGAAGATGAAGAATTTTCAACAGACGTTTAAAGCATATGAGTGTGAATTGGCCTTCTTAATCCGTATACACCACAAGAATTTGCTTAAGATGGTTGGGTTCTGCGAAGAGAAACATGAAAGGCTTTTGGTGTTCGAGTACATGAAGAATGGGTCATTGTATGATCATTTACATGGAAAGAACAAGGGTAGTAGTGTGCTGAACTCATGGAAAATGAGGATCAAAATCGCTTTGGATGCTTCCCGAGGAATAGAATATCTCCATAATTATGCAGTTCCATCAATAATTCACAGAGATATCAAGTCTTCCAACATCCTTATTGATGCTACTTGGATAGCAAGAGTATCTGATTTTGGGTTATCATTGAAAAGCGGTGATTATCAATCTGTGACAATAGCTGGAACTGTTGGATATTTAGATCCTGACTACTATAGTCAAAATTTATTGACAGCAAAGAGTGATGTGTATGGCTTTGGAATTGTACTATTAGAACTTTTAACTGGAAAGAGAGCTATATTCAAGCATGGTGAAGATGGAGGCACTCTATTAAATGTGGTAGACTTTGCAGTGCCTGCTATTTTGGGTGGAGATTTAGTGAAAATTTTGGATCCAAAGGTTGGACCCCCGGATGTGAACGAAAGAGAGGCAGTGGAGTTAGTGTCCTACACTGCTATCCACTGTGTTAATTTGGAAGGCAAAGATAGACCAACCATAGTCGATGTTGTGCTCAATTTGGAGCGGGCCATGTCTATTTGTGATGCTAGCCATGATATATAGCATTTCCAGCGGTTCAATCTCTGTTGTTTCAAAATGATATAGTCATGGAAAATTCAGTCAATTCTTATATTGATAAATTATATGGGTGTAGTCGTGGCCAGTAAATATTAGGGATATCATCTAATATTAAGCTGCAGTAATATTTTGCTAATTTACTAATGGCCAAGCAGAAATATGGAACATTTAATTTACACTATGTATCTATACGTGTGCCATGACAGAATAAAGTATTATTAATGCCTGATGCGTGTGAATATGCTTGTATAAGCGTACTAATTTTTCTTTTTTAACCGTCAAAATTAAGGGGTACTCGTCTGAGCATTGCACTTGCTATTATTGCCTTTAAGTGGGATTAGAACATTGTTATGCAAAAATATTTATTTATATAAAGCCGGAGGAGAAGGTACTTTGATATTTGGTCCTAAGACTAGGAAGTTGCTTGGGAGTTCACAATGTAAAATGGTAACCCATATTCTATGGACATGTGGGGTAAAGTGGAGAAATATGTGAACAAAAAGTTTGGCGTCTAGAGCTTGGAAAACACTCATTGGAGCTGTTGAATCTGGAGGCACTGTAACTAATCCTTGATGTTATTTCTCAACCAACTATGGTCCCTTTTACGAGCACATTCGTTTACTTTTGTTTCTCTTTTGAAGGTCGCTTCTGGTTTCCGCGTTGGCTACAAGTTTGACGGAAAGCATGGTGTTAGTGATTTTAATATTGCTGTAGAGAACTCACATAGCTTTAATCTATTAAGGTAGTTGAATTTTTTTCCTTTAAATTTTTTTATAATAAGTTATTAACAAATTAAATGATAATTTTTTGTAGTGCACTAAAACTCTCGTCCAATTTTATTAATCAATCCAGAGAACGAGAAAAATAAGTTGGGAAAGAATAAAAGCCTAAAGATTTTTAAGCTTTTAACAAGTCAAATAAATGTTTGAAATGAAAATTTTGTTTGTATTTTCATAGTTAATTATACATAATAGCGCTGATGATTTTAGAGTTATTGTTGTTTTAAGAGAGAAAAAATAGGAAACTGAATAGCTGAGTCAGAGTCTTCTATAAGTGAATTTTATATTGACTATAGTTCATATGCTACTTCACCTCAGTTGGCATTGTAATTCACAGAGATATCAAGTCCTCTTACAGTCAGAAACTCATATACTATTTGTAAAGATGGATGGAAATGTTTAATAGTTTAGTGAGGACTTGACTTCCTCATATGTCATTCTATAAAATCGAGTCCTCTTACGTTATTCGGAAAATTATTATCTCATAAGTGGAAACAATAAGGACTTCCATTGTCATTCTAATACAGTGTGAATATATAAACACACAAGAATTCTGCACATAAATCGTTAGACAGGCTAGTTGAAATCTTGCACTTTAAAAATTATTTCTAATTTATAAATAATATTCTAGCACATATTAATACTCATTTACTATTTTTTATTTTTTCTATTATATTATATTTCTTATTAAATGAATTACTTCTTTCTTTATTTTGTTTCTTATCTTTGTAAGAATGTGTATATGAAGGTGTTTATAAACTATTTTCTTGATAAAACGAGTGTGAATGACAGAGGAACCCTTTTAAGTGGGATCACATAGGTATTATAAAATAAATTAAAATTTCAATGCACAAAACTTTAAAGAATAATATGCTGATAACCATATAGTATTTTGAAAATAATTACTTCAAAATATGTGTAAGGGTATAATAAAAATTTATATATAATAAATTTTTTATAAAAAGAACTATAGAATAGCGCAAGATCTAACATGTTAATAATTTTAGACATTATAGTTTTTAATAAAAAATTATTAATTTTTTATATGCATTGAAAACATCGTTTTAAAAAAGACGTTGGAAACGCGTGGATATAAAGTTACAATAACAACAATGACATTTATATAGAACATATATAATATTAATGTCCACCATATCAATAAGATTACAATATGAAAGGAAAATGAATAGGTGTGAACACAAATGTGCCCTTCAATTCTATATATAATTGTAATATCGTGGCTGCATTAAACCCTAAATAATAATAATAATAATAAATACGACTTTCGTGTTATCTTCGTGAATAAGTTTCGTACTATTTGGCATCTTTCTTATAATGTATACGGGTACAGCTAATCTAGCTCTACGCCTCCACCAAATCAAATATATCCATACTTACTTTCACTTGGCAAATGGATAACGAAATTGGGAGCGTTAACATGACCAATGATGCAAGCGTCCATGATTTTGTTTGGGAAAATGATAACGATTTTGAGAGTATAACTTCAAGCATGATGAGTTCAGAAATATCCATTAGACATGTTCCTAGTTATTCTTGGCAACTGGACAATGCAATAAGAAGCATTCCTGTGGATAGTCATACACATGTCCATGGTTTTGCTTCGATAGTGGACAATCACATAAGGAGTACAGAAGGTTTGGGAACATCAACTGTGCATGGTTTTGCTTGGCGAGTGGATAATGATATCAAGAGCAATACAATTGCTAGGGTATCACCAAAAGTGAAAGCAAGTGTGCGAAAACGCCATGCTCGTGATGTTGACACTTTTAAACTGTTCACCCTGGCTGAGCTTGAAGATGCCACCAACAACTTCTCGCTTGAGAACAAGGTTGATGGTGATGTGTACAGAGGAAAACTCGTTGATGGTCGTGAGGTGGCCATAAAGATGAAAAGTTTTCACCAGAAAGAGGATGCATTGGTGTCTGAATTGACATCCTTGTCCCGTGTGCATCATAAACACTTGGTTAAGCTTGTTGGGTTCTATAAAGAGAAAGACAAAGGGCTCTTGGTGTATGATTACATGAAGAATGGGTCACTGCAGGATCATTTACATGACAAGAACAACGTGGAGAAGAGTAGCAGTGTGTTGAATTCATCATGGAGAATAAGGATCAAAGTTGCATTGGATGCTGCCCGAGGAATGGTACATCTGCATGGTTCTGCATATCCATCTAATATTCATGGATATATAAAGTCCTCCAACATCCTTTTTGATGGGACTGGGACAGCAAGAGTATCTGATTATGGATTAACAATGAAATCAGGATACACTGATCATGAGTACATTGATCAAAATGAGTTGAAAAAACCGAGAGATGATGAATATGGGTTTGGAGTTGTACTGCTACAGCTTCTAACAGGAAAGAGAGCTATGTTCAAGCATGGTGAAGATGGAGGCACCCCATTAAGTGTTGTAGACTTTGCTGTGCCTGCTATTTTGAATGGAGATTTATTGAAAATTTTGGATCCAAGGGTTGGACCCCCGAATGCAAATGAAAAAGAAGCAGTGGTGTTAGTGGCCAACACCGCAATCAGTTGTGTGGATTTGGAAGGTAAATATCAACAAGACAACCGAAAGATGGTTCATATTATGACCAACTTGGAGCGTGCATTTCTCATATGTGATAGCAGCGATGACATAATCTCAATTGGTACAACTCATGACGCAGCAGATCACTCAAACTGGGAAGAGGAGTTTCCTGATCTGGATGAGCCTGTAGCAGCCACCAACAATTTCTTACTTGAAAATTAATACTTTTATTTTTCAAATAAAAATAAATTGCAACAAATCAGTTATGAGATTACTGTTAAAATTGGTGAAATAAAATATCTTTACACGATGAGGCTCACGTTATCCGAGTTTATAAAAGAAAGATGGAAGTGAAAGTCATAAATTGACTTAAATTATTGATTTTAAGTTCCACTATTCAAAATCTAAGTTTGTATATGAATTTTTATTTTCTTTTATAATTTTGTCTTATGCTGTAAGACGTTAAGATATTTGCTTTGATTCAAAGAGAGTGCAATACTAAGATCATGGGAAGATCATAAGAAAAATTTGTGGTATAAAAAAATTTAAGTGTGTTATTTTCTTAAATTCCTTAACTTAAATATTACTTTATATTTTTAACATATTTTGAAATTTTTAAAAAAAAGAGAAAAGTTATAAAAAGGTTGGACTCAAATGGGTTTTAATCCTACTTTCGTATATCTTTTTCTATAATGAAAATTCTCACGTAATTCTTATTCAACAATTTTGTACGATGAATTTTTATTTTTGCTACAGTAAAAAAACTAGAGCCATGCAATACTTAATAGAAAACCTTGTTTGGAAGGGTTATAAAATTGAATATAAAATATTTTTGAAAGTTAAATAAAGAATAATTTATATATAAATCTTTTTAGGATGCATTTGAAAATAAAAAAATCGGTTAAAAATTAATATATTTTAGAGAAAAATATTTTATTTTTGTACTTTTTTATGAAAATATGAGAGAAAAATTTATATTGACTTTATAATTTCTAAATGTTAATAAAAAAGTACACATTAACATATGTAAATTATCTTACATATACTAATGTGTAACTAAAGTTGATACTGTAACGACAAACCCAAACTTGATATTCTAATGATTTTATAGCGTATAAATAATAATATAATTTATATATTATTATTATTATTATAAATTGCTTCACTAATAAAATATTTATAACAAATTGATAATTTAATTTATTTATAAATAAAGTAAAGCATAAGACTAAAAACATTAATGTCTAAAAGTATAGAATTTATTTTATAAATCAGGGTCAATTATGTGGATGGAATGGAGAAGATCAAATAAGAATTAAAATGATAAACAAATAGATAGTATGGATAATCCTCTGAATGTGTTATTGCATTGATGAGTCTGTTACAATAATGAAAAGAATGTTGCTATGCCATAATAGTAACACCAGAGCGAAGAAACAAAATGTAATAATACCTATACCCCGCACTCCTCCTCTATAATTAATTACTACCACACATAATCGCTCATGCATGATTTGTCTATTCTCATCCTTTCACTTTTTCGATTGCCGACAATTATACGATCACTTGACATTTTGTTGATTCTCTTTAACAAAATTATTTCTTTGTGTTCATTTTCTGAATTGTCCTTGTGCTATTTCCACCTGTGACAGTGGGATTAAAGGTGCAAAAATTTATTGTGATTGTGTATCAATCATTTAAATATGATTTAAAATTTCTAGTTGTTTTCCAAACATATATGTTTACAATATTTGGTATAATTCATGTTCTCACTGAATTATGAGTTGCTGCCTTGTCTGATAGATGGTTCAATTTTCGAATTCAATGGTTTAAATATGTAATTCTTCGCACACACTCATATGTTTAATTCAGTATACTCTAATGTGTAAATTTATATACTCCGTGCTCTTCATTGTAACATCTTAAACTCGTAACCTTTTGTGTGTAGGGACACTCTCAGCTACTCAATTTTAGATCATGATATGATTTGATGGTAAAAAAACTTAAGAAAATTTCAGGGCATTAGTTAACAACTAAAAAAATACATTTTTTTTATAAAAGTTTAAGCATTTTGACCATAATTTTTTTTTATGCATCTCAGCATATTTTTAATCAGCGTCTTAAGGGTAGTAGTTAGAAAAACCCAAATTTAAAAATCCCAAAAATTAATGCCCAAGAAAAGAAAACTAACCTACAAGCTTGCACAACAAGACGCATGCACAAGAAGCATGAAACATGTAGAACAAGAAGCAAGAAGAACATTGTTCCAGACCACAAATTAAAACCATGAGAACAAGAACAAGAGACAGCACCACAAGACCAAGACACATTTTCATGCAGAAGAAGATCATGTTAAAAAAAAGGCAAAAGAAGAAGAACAAGATGAAAAAAAGAACAAGAAACATGCATAAAAGAAGAAGAAGGAGAAGAAGAAGAAGAAGAAGAAGAAGAAGAAGAAGGAGAAGAAGAAGAAGAAGTAGAAGAAGAAGAAGAAGAAGAAGAAGAAGAAGAAGAAGAAGAAGAAGAAGAAGAAGAAGAAGAAGAAGAAGAAGAAGAAGAAGAAGAAAAGAAGAAGAAGAAGAAGAAGAAGAAGAAGAAGAAGAAGAAGAAGAAGAAGAAGAAGAAGAAGAAGAAGAAGAAGAAGAAGAAGAAGAAGAAGAAGAAGAAGAAGAAGAAGAAGAAGAAGAAGAAGAAAGAAGAAGAAGAAGAAGAAGAAAGAAGAAGAAGAAGAAGAAGAAGAAGAAGAAGAAGAAGAAGAAGAAGAAGAAAGAAGAAGAAGAAGAAGAAGAAGAAGAAGAAGAAGAAGAAGAAGAAGAAGAAGAAGAAGAAGAAGAAGAAGAAGAAGAAGAAGAAGAAGAAGAAGAAGAAGAAGAAGAAGAAGAAGAAGAAGAAGAAGAAGAAGAAGAAGAAGAAGAAGAAGAAGAAGAAGAAGAAGAAGAAGAAGAAAGAAGAAGAAGAAGAAGAAGAAGAAGAAGAAGAAGAAGAAGAAGAAGAAGAAGAAGAAGAAGAAGAAGAAGAAGAAGAAGAAGAAGAAGAAGAAGAAGAAGAAGAAGAAGAAGAAGAAGAAGAAGAAGAAGAAGAAGAAGAAGAAGAAGAAGAAGAAGAAGAAGAAGAAGAAGAAGAAGAAGAAGAAGAAGAAGAAGAAGGAAATATGAAACATGCAAAACAAGAAATAATAAGATGAAAAAGAAACAAGATAATTTACAGCAAGAAATACAAAGAAAAATAAGAACAAGAAACAAGATTGTGTAGAAGAAAGAGATGACAATAAAAGAACAAGAAATATGCAACATAAAAATAAAGAACAAGAAACAAGAACAAGAAACGTGTAGAAAACAAGGATATGAACAAGAAACATGTACAGGAACAAGAAGAAGAAAGAGAAGAACAAGAAACATGATCATTTTATCAATACAGAATCATTTGTCTTCTATTTCTAGACAACATTCGAAACTATTAAACAGTCGAGGATGAATTTAACAACAGTTTAAGTATTAATGACTATTTCTTGTATTGAAAAGAAACAAAGGGAGAAAACACATTAATAAAAAAGATAATGTAGAATAAGAAACATATATAAAAAGAACAAGAACTAAGAAGAAAAATAAGAACAAGAAAAATGAAAAAGAAGAAAAAAAAAAGGAACGAAACATTCAAAAGAGAAAAAAGAACAAGAGCAATAAACATGAAGAACAAAAAACCAAAAGATCATGTGAAAAAAAGAAGAAGATCGATGAAAAGAAAACATGAAACGTAAAACATGCATGCAGACCAAAAGCAAGAAGATGATGAAGAAAAATAGAACAAAAAAAAAACATGCAAAAGAAAAGAACAAGAAAATCATGTAGAACACAGATAAGAAGATAAAAGATGTAGAACAAGAAACAACATGTAAAACAAGAAGAAAAAGAAAAGAAGAACAAGAACACAAAACAAGAAGATCTTGAAGTACAAGAAACATGCAAAAGAAGAAAAAGAAAAAGAAGTATGAAACATGCAAAACAAGAAGAATAGGAATGAAAAAAAAATCATGTACAGCAAGAAACAAGAACAAAAACAGGAATAAGGAATATGCAATAGGAGAAATACGAAGATTGTGTAAAACACGAAATTAGAGGGAAAAAAATAATAAGAAACATGAAAAAGAAGAAAAAGAAAAAGAAAAAGAAACTGGAAACACGAACTATGCAGAACAAGAAACAATAATATCTCATGTGAAAAAAAAATTCATGCAAAAGAACAAGAACAAGCAATTAAGAAAAGAAAAAGAACAAGAAACATGAAACATACATAAGAACAATAAACAAAAATAAGAAAAATGCAGAGCAAGAAAAAAAAGGATCATGTAGAACAAGAAACAAGGAAAACAAAACATGAAACGTGCAGAATAAGAAACAAGAAGAAGAACAGAGCTATGAGATTGAAAGAGAAAGATAGACCAACCATTGCTGAGATTGTGGCCAATTTGAAGAAGGCGCTGGATATATATTTACGATAAATACTGGGAACTGGGTTGGTTCTAGTGAGTGGACATTGGATGATGAAACCCATGACATACAGTTCAGCTTCTGAGTTGAAGGTCATTCCTGTGTGCTTTGTATTGTCTCTCTTGTTTGATCAAAGTGGAAAATATTAGAATCATACATTAATTTTTAATTATTCGATTATTAATAGAATTAATGACACTGAAAAATCTCTCTATATAGAGAATATATTAGAGTGACTATTGTTAGGTCTTGCCTCCCTATATTCTTGCATCAAGCAGAACATGGATGGAGCTTGCAGAGGACAGAGTAGCTAGTAAGTAGTAGTGGTTTGACTAGAGATTCTCATGGGAATTGACTTTATGGCTTCTCTGAAAATCTTAGATATACTTCTGCATATATGGCAGAATTGTTGTGTTTTAGAAGGTCTTAAATTAGTTTGGAATTTAAGATTCAGAAAGGTAGAATTGCAGTTTGACTCTAGAATTGCTATCAAAGGCATTGTAGGTATCGGAAGCCATATATGTAGAAAGAGTTTGATCCACGAGGATTTGTTGCAGCATGTTGAATTGAGAATTTCACATATCTTTAGAAAGGAGAATATGTGCCCATATATGTTGGCTAACCTTAGATGCTGCCATGATGCCATTGTTATTTTTTATGAGCAAACTTCTCTTAATGTCTTTTTTGTTGCTTTTACGTACATAATGTAATGGAAGTTTTCTACTCCCATAAAGATTATCGGTTGTTCATTAGCTTCTGGGCTTTTGCCACTTTCATTTATAAAAAACATGAGCATATTATTCGTCAAAATGATTCCTTGATATGCTTCTGTTAGTGGATATAATGAATCAAAGTCCAACATTCAAGAATTCTATAATAGAAGGAAGAGACTTTCTTATATTCTTTTAATAATTCTCCAGACTCAAATTACATTATAATATAAATAATATAAAATATATTGAATACTTTTTATTTAGTAATTAGAATAATTTGTAAGAATAAATAATAGAAAGATTTATATTTATTCTCAAAAGGAATAGTAGTTGAATAATTTTAAATTCTTTTAATTACTGAAAAAAAGCTATTAATTTTTATATATTTTTAAAGATAATAAATACAAATTTTTTCCAATTTTATTTATTTTATAAAACAGTAGAAAGATAAAATATTGTTGAAATAGCAAAGCACAAAGTGATTTCCTCCTTAGAGGTGGCTTGTATGTAAGACTATTTCAGCTTGAATTTTTTTTATTTTTTATTTTTTTAAAGTTTGTCTTCTCCTTTATCTTGGGAGAAAAAAAGGCATTGAATAGGTTATTTCTAAATTATAGCTCTTAAAATATTGATTATGATTTTCTAATGAATTCAAACGTAAATGAGACAGATACACATGTTATCCATTTATTTGTAAAGATGGATAGTTATTTGTTTAATAGCCTAACAAAGACTTGACTTCTTCAGGTGTATCATTCTATAAAATGGAAATTTTGAATCAGCGTTCTTAAATTCAGAAAATTATTATCTTATAAGTGGAAGCAATATGACTTCATTTTGTCATTTCGATAGAGTGTGAATAAACACAAAAATTCCGCACGTAGGTTGTTAGCTAAGCTACTTGACAAAGCTTTGCAATTAAAAATTGGAGTGTGAATGGTGAAAGGCTGCCTTCTCAATGAATCACGCGGGTAGAATAATTAGGATAAAATAATGTTTTAAAGGATAAAACTTATACTAACAATAAGCCAATTAAATTTTATAATTATATAAAGTACAGATATATAATACATCTAATATTTTATTTTTAATGTTACCAATTATTTATATTAAATATATATTTAAAAATATTAAACTTTCTTAAAATGAATTTTATATTAATTTAATTATTCAATGAAATATAAAATATCTAATAATAAGAAAAAAAATATAAAATATAAAAGTTAAGAAATATATAGATAAAATAAATCAAACGTTGATAAAATGATAAAATATGAAATATTTTATTTACGTCAAGCATATATTTAATAAAATAAAATAAAATATACATAAATAAAAAAACAATAAATTACTTTTTCAGTACCTAGAGATTCATTTGATAACAATTTAAGAATTCGATGATATAAATTCTAATAATGAAAAAAGCTAAAAAGGTTAAGAAACATAAAGATGAAATAAAAAAAAAGTAAAGAAATTAAAAGATTTTTAAATTAAAAAAAAATGTTAGGTACTTGCACGGTTCATCACGTAAGTAGACTAAATACCATATTTATATCCAAAATCATAAGATTTTGAATTCTTTCCGCGTATGTTATTTGATTTGTTCATTCTTACCCAATATAATGAATTATAATGTCAAAGATTAACATCTTTTCCCTCTCCTAAAGTCTCAACTAATACATCCCTACATATATATGTAGTTAAAGATGGCTAGCTCCATATCCATACTTTTACTTTCCCTTGTGAAATGAATAGTGAAATTGGAAGCGTAAACATGACCAATTTCACAAACCATGAAAATGCCCATGATTTCGTTTGGCGAGTGAAAAATGAGAGTATAACTACAAACATGACGAATTCGGGAATATCCAATGAACATGTCCATAGTTATGCTTCGCAAGTGAACAATGCTCTAAGAAGTATTAACGAAGCTACAGAAGATATGGGAGCAATAACATCATCACGTGTGCATGGTTTTGCTTCGGGAGTGGACAATGCCTTAAGGAGTATCAACAGCGAAGCTAAAGAAGATTTCGGAAACATAACATCACGTGTTCACGGTTATGCTTCGCCAGTGGATAACCATATCAAGAACAACACAATTGGTACTATATCATCATCACAAGTGAAATCAAATGCACCAAAACGCATTTCCCGTGATGTTGAAGGTTTTAGATTATTTTCCCTGGCTGAGCTTGAAGATGCCACCAACAACTTCTCGGTGGAAAACAAGCTTGGTGGTGATTTGTACAGAGGCAGACTTGGTGATGGTCGTGACGTGGTAATCAAGAGGAAGAGGTTCCACATACCCGCATCTGAATTGGCATTCTTGTCCCGTATACACCACAAACACTTGGTTAGGTTTGTTGGGTTCTGTGAAGTGAGAGATGAAGAAGAGTTCTTGGTATATGAGTACATGAAGAACGGATCAGTGCAAGATCATTTGCATGGCAAGAACAACGTGGACAAGAGTAGCACCTTCTTGAATTCATCATGGAAAATGAGGATCAAAGTTGCTTTGGAAGCTGCACGAGGTATAGAATATCTTCATGATTGTGCAGATCCATCTATAATTCACGGTGACATCAACTCTTCTAACATTCTTCTTGATGAGACTTGGACTACAAGAGTATCTGATTATGGGTTATCATTAACGAGTCCAGAATCTGAGGATGAAGAAGGAACCGTTGGATACACTGACCCTGATTATGATAATGTAAATGAGTTGAAAGAAAAGAGTGGTGATGCATATGGACTTGGAGTTGTACTGCTAGAGCTTCTAACAGGAAGGAGAAATATAATTGAAGGAGTTACCCTACTAAGTGTTATAGATATTCAAGATTTTACAAAAGGAGAGAGAGACGTAGATGAAGTGGGTTTCTTGGTAGACTTTGCAGTGCCTCATATTAAGGGTAGAACATTGGAAAAAGTTTTGGACCCAAGGGTTGAACCACCGGTGAAGGAAAGTGAAGTAAAGGCATTGTATTCAATGTCCCACATCGCTATGCGTTGTGCAGAACGGAAATGGGAAGATAGACCAGTCATTGCTGACATTGTGACCAATTTGAAGGAGGCGTTCGATATTTACTGAAATATGACTAATTTATATGATTTCTTGTTAAGTTAATATATGGTGTGTATTAGAAATTAAATTTATTTTATGCATCTTGTTAAGAATAAAAATTAGATTGAACTTGATGAACGGATTTCAAGATTAATTTTATAAATTACTATAATTTATTTCTTTGATTATCATGGTAGTAAAGTAAAAAATCTTAAGACTTTAATTGTATTTTTAAAATTCTTCTAGATTAAGTTATGTGTAATCTTCTACCTAAAACTCGTAAAATTTAATTTTATACTTAAAGTTTTACAAATTGAATTGACAAAAATGTCTTTTTTATTTTAAAAAATCAATTAAGATCTTAAAATTTACTCAATTGTTTTTTAAAAAACTTTCTTAAAATCCTTCATGATATCACGTCCTATAAAACTTTTAAATTTTATCAATTATTCACGTTTTTAAACTTTTAAAATTATTTTATATTACAATTTTATCATAAGATCTAAAAAAATTAAATAACTTTTAAGATTTTTTAATAAAAACTAGATATGCATAATAACAAAATTTAATTAATTAAAAAAACTAAGTGACCAAAATTATATATATACTTAAATTAAAGAGGGAAAAAATATAAATAAACCAAACAGTAAACAATGACAAAAGCCACATATACTCATGTTTAGTTATATCTAGTACGATAATTTCTATTATATTTTAATTTTATAAAATATATTTATTTATTATCTCATTTTGTTAAGAATTATATATTTATACTTAATCATTAAAGAAAAGTTTAATAACTTTGTAATCAATTGTTACAAGAAAATTTTATTCTCATGTATGAAGGTAGAAAAACTTTATTCTCACTAATTCAAAAGTTAATATTTTCAGAAATCTTTTATATGCATGAAAATATCTTTATTCTCTCCTACTAAACATGATTTTTTTTCTAATCTTGTGTCACTTCCTCAAATTTTTTCATACGAAACAGCCTTAAACCTTATGTTATTTATTTAAAGAAATTGGTTAATAATATTAAAAAGATACATTTATTCGTAATTTTAACGCTAATTAGAAAAACAGCATTGATTATTTGAAAGTAGTTTTTGTTTTAATACTAAAATAGGAAATTGAAAAACTAACAGGGAGTGTTTCCTCTATGATTTTTTTTATGACTATAGTTAGTGGTGCTTCTGCCTAGATGTCCTCTTGTGTATCCAATAAAGAAATTATTGCATTTGCATTTTGCAAGCATTTAAGTATGGTAAAATGTTAGGGTTTAAGGGTTCTGCTATGTCCCTTAAAAATTGATGTCCGCTTCCATAAGAAAGTGTGCATAAATACTAAAAAAAAAAAAAAAAAACAGAAGAAAGTGTGCATATATACACGTAAGAATCCTTAGTTGACAATTATATTTGCATTTGCGATTTTTTTTCTTATTCTTTTTCTACATTAAAAGTGAAAAAAATATTTTTATAGTTGATGGTAAAAGGTATTTTTAATACATTTATATAATTAAAATAGAAATAATCATATTTAATGTTACATATGATATTCATTTTTAGACATTCAAATATCATACAATAAATAACATTTCGAAGGATAAAACTTGCAAGAAAAGGATGTTGATAATCATGTATACACAGAACAGACATAAGAAACATAGTAGGGTACATTTGAATATACAAGTTAATTAATTACTTATGTAATATTTAAAAAAAAAAATAGTTTGTTTTATAAATTTAACTATAAAATTTATTACAATAAATTAAAATAGTTTATTTTTATAAAATATATGAAAAAATTACTAAAATAAATTAAAAATATTTATGATTGTAATGTATATTTTCGTAACGTGTTTCAAATATCCTATTAAGATACAATTGTCATTACAATGACATTTATAAAAAATAAAAATAAAAATTCGCATCCCAATTTTATTTTTCTAAATATTACATTGTTTTTTCTATCTTTCTTCCTTTGTAGTCAAATCGTTCTTTCAAATTCATCACTTTCTCTCCTTCTTCTATTTTTCTCTTGAAACACTCCATTGGGGTAGGTGTTAAAACATCATTTTCCTCGTATAATACATTAACACTAGCGAACACCAATTAGCAACCAAGTCAATAAGATTACATTATATAAAAATGATGATCCAAGTGTGAACGATGTGAATGGCTGAGACAGTATAGTTCATAGTTCACCCTTTCACACGTATGATCTAATCGCTAGTTTAGCTTGTCTTGCTTCGCACCTTTTCAACTGACACGCCCTCACCCCTTTATATATATATATATGCTCTCCACACCTCTACCAAAGCATATATCCATTTAAAGTTTCGCCTTCTTATTGATATTTACACACTTTATTTCTCTTGTATTTGTTTTCTATTTCGTTCTATCTTTATCTTCTCTTCCTATCACATATTTTATTTTTTTCCCCTTTCATTTTCTTCCTTCCTAACTCTTGCTCTATCCATTTAACATAAAAAAATTTGGTGTCATTGCATAAATTCTCGTCACTTGGCAAATGGATAGTGAAATTAGGAGTAGGAGCGTTGACACGCAGATATCACAGTTGGTGCAAGTGTCCACAGTTTCCTTTCGCAAGTGAATAATGAGATTGAGAGTAAAATTTCAATCGTGGCGAATTCGGGAACATCAAATAGACATGTCCTTAGTTTTACATCGCAAGTGGCCAACGCGATGACTAGTACTGCAGCAGATTTGGAAGCATCCCATGTTCAAAGTTTTGATCAGCAGGTGGACAATGCTGTGAGAAGTAGCAGTGTAGCAGATTTGGAAACATCACGTGTGCATTGCTATAATTCAATAGTGGATAACCATATCAAGAGCAATACTGTCACTGCACAATCATCACCACAAGTGATTTCCAATGTGACAGCACATGTTGTCGAAGGTTTTAGATTATTCAACCTGGCTGAGATCGAAGCTGCCACCAACAACTTCTCACCTGAGAACAAGATTGGTGGTGATGGTGGTGGTGGTGGTGTGTATAGAGGCAAACTCGAGGACGGTATTGAGGTGGCAATCAAGAACACCTCGAAGATAAAGAGGTTGGTAGAGGAAGAGAGTGTATCTGAGCCTGAATTGCCGTTCTTGTCTCGTCTACTGTCTACACCACAAAAATTTGGTTAGGCTTGTTGGGTTGTGCGAGGAGAAGGATGAACGGTTCCTGATGTATGAGTACATGCAGAATGGATCACAGCATGATCATCTGCATGGCAAGAACAACGTCGAAAAGGGTTGCAGTGTGTTGAATTCGTGGAAAATGAGGATCAAAATTGCTTTGGACGTTGCCCGAGGAATAGAATATCTGCATGAATATGCAACTCCATCTATAATTCACAGAGATATAAAGTCTTATAACATCCTTCTTGACGAGGCTTGGACTGCAGAAGTATCTGATTTTGGATCATCAATGATGGGTCCAAAACCTGATCGTGAATATCTGCCAATAATGAAGGCGGCAGGAAACGTTGGATACAGTGATCGTGTGTACTATGGTAGAAATGTGTTCAAAGCGCACAGTGTTGATGTATTTGGGCTTGGAGTTGTAATGCTAGAGCTTTTAACGGGAAAGAGTCCTATATTGAAGCATGGTAAAGATGGAGACACCCCATTAAAGTTGGTAAACTTTGAAGTGCCTACTATTTCTGATGAAGACACGGTGTCAACTCGTTTGGACCCGAGGGTTGGAGAACCGGATCAGAATGAAGAAAATGCACTGAATATGTTTACTATCACTGCCAAAAAGTGCGTGATCATGAAATGGAATATATCTGAAGTTGTGGCCCGTTTGGAAGAAGCTTTGATTTCTTGTGGTAGTAGCTATGGAAGCATTCCCAGTGGTACAATCACTACTGGATCGGGGCTCATAAACAAGGCTGAGGAGTTCTCCCTTGCTGAGCTTGTAGCAGCCACTGATAATTTCTCACTTGACAACAAGATTGGTGCTGGAAGCTTTGGTGTGGTGTACAAAGGCAAACTCGTTGATGGTCGTGAAGTGGCAATCAAGAGGGGTGAAACCGGTCCCAAGAAGAAGTTTCAACACAAATTGAGTGCATTTGAGTTTGAATTGACCTTCTTGTCCCGTCTACACCACAAGCACTTGGTTAGGCTTGTTGGGTATTGTGAAGAGAAAGATGAAAGGCTCTTGGTGTTTGAGTACATGGAGAATGGGTCATTGTATGATATTTTGCACGGCAAGAACAACGTTAAAAAGCTTAGCAGTGCCTTGAATTCTTGGGAAATGAGGTTCAAAATTGCACTAGATACTGCCCGCGGAATAGACTATCTCCATAAGTATGCATTTCAATCAATAATTCACCGAGATATCAAGTCTTCCAATATCCTCATTGACTCTACTTGGACGGCAAGAGTATCTGATTTTGGATTGTCACTGATAAGTCCAGAACCTGACCATGATCACAAGCCAACGATATTAGCAGGAACTGTTGGATACATTGATCCTGAGTACAGTGATCAAAATGTATTGACAGCAGAGTGATGTGTATAGTTTTGGAGTTGTACTATGAGAACTTCTAACCGGAGAAAAAGCTATTAAATTGAAGCATGGTGAAGATGGAGACACAAAATCAAAATTGGTTGACTTTGCATTACCTCCTATTTCTGCAGGTGCTGTGGAATATATTTTGGACCCCCGAGTTGGCCTTGGAGAATTTGAGTGGAATATTGAGAGAGCAGTGCATTTAGTGGCCTATATTGCTGAACGTTGTTTGAGTTTGGAAGGGAAAGATAGACCAACCATGGCTGAAATTCTGGTTGATTTGGAAAGGGCTGTGTGTCTTTCTGATAGCATGGCCTAGAGTGTTATGCATTGTATTGCACTCTGCTCTTTTCTCTTGTGCATTGTTTGGACATTGTTCTTGTGACTGGATTTTTTTTATGTATGAAAAAAATAATGTTATTTCTACTACAATCAATAAATCGGATTCACCCCTTATTAAGTAGAAACGTGTAAAGTAAAAAAAGTAAAAACCTTATCCATCATTTATTTAATTTGATTAAAAAATATCATAAATATTATAAAAATACATAAATCTAACTTCTAGAAAATTAATAACTCTTAAATTTAGAATATATCTTTTGAAAAAAAAAAATCCTAAATCCTAAAAATAACACACAAATAATAGTTTTGACTTAAAAAAAATGTGGTGTTATTTTGATTTGAATCAGACCTAATTGTGGAAAGGTTCAATCCAGTTTAATTAGTTTAGTTCAGTTCGTTATGTTAATTCAATCCAATCAACACCACTTCATTTTAGTATGGTTAGTCCACGTAGTACCACACTCGAGCAAAAACTAATGTAAAACCCAACAAACCGATAATGAGAAATGCTAAATGTTGATAACTAAGTCATCTTCAAAGTACTATCAGTTACAGAGATAACCCAAATTGTAGTATAGAATAGCAATATCTTCAGTAACAATATTTGACAATCTAATAGATTGAAACCACCCCAATAAAAGAAAAAATTCGTCAAGTAAAACTCTGAACATGCCTAATCATCTATGAAGTGATTATTCCCTTGTCTACGAAAAAAGAATGTATAGCAAGCATCCGAAGCATGATTATATCCTCATGAAAAATAACGTAACCCAATTGATGAATAATCATTTGATTCGAGAATATCTTTGTCTTCGTTCATCAACTTCATTCATCCAATCAGAGAGCCGTAAAAGTCCCTTGTATCCATAATATGTAGCAACAACAACTATGACCAAAATTAAGGTAAATAGAAGAAGCTGCTTCGTTCTGGAAATAATTTTCTGTTCAATAATCATATATTCATAAGTAATCCGCAAAGTAAAAGGCAATTCCAAATCAACAAAACAAAATCTTTACTAAGAAAATTAACACACCTGTAGTTTTGTTGTTTCCTTGGATTCTAGAACCCGTTCCCGCCTTTTTCGTCGCTTTGAAACTGATTTTTCTTTATCTGCCTCTTTTACCTTCAATAAGCACAACCCAACTTAAAAATAGCAATGATGAAAATAAAGAAAGCAACCAAACAAACGACTTTGTGAGTGCGAGGAAAGTTCTGACAGAAACATGTTTACCTCTGTAACTCTAGATTTACGAAATTGTATTTCTGACTCAACCACCTGGACTCTACTCTTACAATCAGAATTACAAGGAATAAGGCCAACTCCAAATTGACTTTTTGGTATATCCCTTGGATGGCAACCAGCATCATGATATGCTGCTTGAACATCTTGACAAAGCCACTCCTTTTTCAATGTTTGACATTTGCATCGAACAGTGACCTTGTGAAGAATGATTTCATATTTTAGAAGTCAAATTGGATCAATAGTAGGTGTACACTTTTGGTTAGATTGCAGTAGCTACAAGTTAGAATAGTAATGCAAAAACACTGCTTGAGCTAATGATGTTATCTTCAATTTCAAGCCATGAAGTTATAGCTATTGAATCTAATAGTACCTTCTTACTGCATTTCTCAGGTTTTGGGCATTGACCAGGATGACATGTCTCAGGGCATAGATGTGTACAATTTGGCAACTTTCTGCAAACCAATGTGAACAATCAGGTCGTCGTCTAACTTTACTACTCAATCTATAGAAATGAAAGCCTAACAGAGAATTTTAACTTAAAGCTGGTGTCAAATGCACAAAAAAAATGTTAAACTCTCTAAATTACCTATGACATGGCCCACTACATGAACGAACGGTCTCTTGACTCTTCACAGACAAGGTGTTGTAATATATGCATTCAAAAACATGGACCATCGCACTACAGTGGCATGACCGTTTAATGAGCACCTTGCACGGGGGACAGTCTCCAGGATGGCAGGGCTGAGGGCACGGATGTGGACATGTAGGTTCTCGTTCCTGATCAAACGCAGTTATCGCATCAAGCAACAAATTGTCAGTTCTGATTCTGGAAACTGTTTCTCAACTTTACACAGGAAGACAAATTGAGAAACTTCATTGACTCAGCTTAAATCCAGCCAAAATACATAGAGAACACTTTACAAACCATGCCAGGTTTTAAAGAAAATGGATTAATGGAATTCTAGAAGATTCAACACCTTTTGGCAAGGAAGATAACAATCTTCACAAGGCTCACTTCCTTGTAACTGGTTCACCAACGCATGGCAGGTTTTTGTACAATAATGATTACCACATGGTAGAGGATTACCACACAAGTTTTCACAGGAAAACCGTGATTTATGAGAGCAGACCATCTGATAGGAGGGTGGAAAAGAAAACAGCAAGTGCATTAGCAGCATAAAAGTAGTTAAAGCAAATTCCTTTTGGAGTTTGAACAAAATCATCAAAAAGAATTTTTCATATCAAAGTTTATATAAAATTCAAAGATAAGCAAAACAAACCATTTTCTCTGTTCCAATGTGTTGTCCAACACATGATCTCCACACAAGTTCTGGGCAAGGAGGGCATGGAGTGCCAGGAACAGTTTCCCTTTGTTGTAAAATCTTTTTTTTCTTTGGTTTGAGAGTATACTCTGGATTAGGAGGAGGCTTAGCACCATGACACCTTCACATAGAAAAAAATAGTTTAGGAAATAATAAAACGTTAAACATATGGGGTTTTGTCATTAAGTAGTCATATGAAACTAGATTCTGATGAAACCCATGCACTATTTTGTCAAGACACGAGACATGAGCACAGACATACGAAGCTGATTTTGGACTTTCCATTCACACCTAAATGTTTTAAACCATTTAAAGCAATTACCTCAAAAAGATACCTAGTAACATCTCAATCTTACATATCTAAAGAGAAAATTTTATCAAACCTTAATTTGCATGTATGGCCACATTGGTACTCTTCTGCACAAGGTAGCCGACAAGGAGGGCAGGCTCCATAGTGGCATTTATGTGGCTAGACAAAAATAATATTTTTGTTAATAGCATGAAGATAAAAGATGCAGTTTCAGCAATTAAAGCATTCATTTACTTTCAAATTAAAAAATATAAAAGTATGATGATGATATCTATGGCAGTTTCTAATCATTCAGATCTAGAGAAACACAAAAATAGAAGCTCATCGAGATATATACTATGAAGTCTGAACATTTCTTTATAAAAAATAATAACCAGATAAAATTTTATCATCCGTTTTCAAATTTAATTGCACCCAGATTTGAATGAAGTCAATTTTATTACATTTTATCATCAGACATAATAAGAGAAAACAACAGTAATGAATGAATTCTTGAATTATTGGAGCAATACTAATGAAGGAAAAAGAAAGAAACTAACCAATGAATTCTAGATTAGACATATATTTGGACACATTCGAAAACCAAATTAGAAATTTAGAATGGGAATAGATATCCTATTGTAAAAAAAAAAAAAGAGACATAAAATAAAGTTTCTTTTTTTCCACTAAGTTATTCTCCTCTATCATAGCTTCACCCAACTATACATCCAGCATATCTCTGCTTGCACACGTAAATGCCTGTTTCAAACAAGTTGGCAACAAATGGTACCTTGCAGTTTGATGCATGCCGGCATAAAGGAGTGATAGGACATAGTTTAGGACATCTAGGTGGCTTTTGATCCATTTCAGTACCACAAGGAACCTGGTAAAAAATCCATCACTCAGCACAATAATTTAGGCAAGTACAAAGCAAATATTGAAGAAATCCAAGTGCGTAGCATCAAAATCTAGAATATTATGTAAAATAATAGTGGCTATTGGCAAAAAGAAAATAGACCACCATAAAAACACACACATACATGCAAAGGAAGAAATAACAAGGAATATTCATTGCTCATGTGTTTGTGTGAGTTGCTGATAAGTAAGCAACTCCCTGTTTATATGATCTTTGAACTTCCAATTTATGTAACGAAAATGCTATACATTCAACTGGTGTCACAAGTAAAATACGAATAGGAATATCACACTGACTACAATACATATTACATAATTTAACAATAATAAGCATCCTTGATTCGATATTATGCATTTACCTCTGTTGTTACCCAGAATATGTTCAAATGATTCTGCCTTCATTTAAGTTATCACAGCGTAATACAAGACAATTATAACTTAAAAACAAGATTGTAGGTAATTTAGGAAGTCTTCTTCGACAAATGTTCCTAACAAAAATTTTCAAACTTATTAATAGATAATGCGCTCATCATTTAGTCATTATTGTCCATGAGCAAAGCAGTTAATAGTGTTATTTTACATAAGTGTGTTCACATGGTACACAACAATTTACATACAAGAATGTCAAATTTTGGGAATACAATTATATAATGGGCTTCAACAATAATCACAAACAAAGCACATTTGAAGAATTATGTTTCATGTAGCATTGGATAAGATTCTGCAACTATTTAGATGTAGTCTCACAGATAAAATCCTGACAGTCACGTTCATACCTCAAAATGTGTCTCTCCACATGCACACGAAATTGTGACCATTATTGGGCAAGGAGCACAGGGACCTCTGTGAGAACAAAGTTAGGTATCGTTATGCTGTGTTCCATCTCTGTCTTCAGGCTTCACAAGTTACATATTAAAATACTGTTTTGTCCATATAATATGCATAAGATATACATTTGGTCCCTATGTTCTGAAATAAACAGAACAATGAAGAATCCAACTTTTTAAATAATTATATATTCCTCTTCCATCTAGTCCATTGTGATCACATTGTTAGTAGATGATGACATATCAATTAACATTGTTGTGCCAAAAAGGCCTTGGTAGTAGCAGTTAGATAAGAACATAGAAATGGCGATTGGGCCAGCCTGATCTCAGCTCAAAAGCACTCAGGCCAGCCCCATTTCGATGCAAAAAGAGAACATAATGAACTAATTTCAGCTCATATCTAAGATCATACCAACAGGTTTCAGTTCAGAGGATCATGACATTATAGAAAGCAGTAATCAGCTGGCATGCACCGGATATAGACAAAGAACATACCTATGGCATGGTGAAGGGCATTTATGATTCTTACACCGAAGCCTCCTGCCACATATCTAATAATTTTTGAAAACAAAAGAAAATTGATCAATGCCATTACAACTCAATTTTCTCTCTCTTTTGTAAGTAACAGCTACAAAACAGACACTCACCTCTGAGCAAGGAGGGCAATCGCCATCACAGCAGCGGCGTTTACACTCATGACGACCGCAGTCACGCATCCTTTTACACTTCCTTTCACACGCCAAATCTTGATAGCAAGGAACCTACTCTAAGTTCAATTAACTTTGCCTACTACAATCATATTTCACAAACAGAAATCAAAATGCATCCAAATTCCCAAAACTGTAAGCACTTACATCTTTCTTGAGACTCCCACAACGACAGGACTTCTTCACCACAATCCTACAAGTCTCAATGCATTGCCCACGGTGGCACCGCTCATGGCACCTATGATAGCCACAAGGTAACATCTTATTACAAGTAGCTCCACAGAGCTGCACAGGAGCATCACAAGACATTCCTTCATACACCCTTGAGCCACAAGGACACGTTCTCTTCCCCTGCAGGGGACACTCACCACACTCACCAGAATGGCACCCTCTCTCACAAACATGCTTCCCACAGCTAAGTCTCTTCTCACAAGGGTAACCACATTGAAAAACACGATCACAACACTCCTTTTCCTCTTTGATCTTCCCACACTGGCACGCATGCACGCCACGTGTTCTACAAGGAGGGCAAGGGCCACGGTGGCAAACCTCAACACACCTATGAACACCACAATCCAGCACCTTGGAACAAGGACTATTACAAGAAAAATCCTTGAAGCCACAGCGTCTAACATCTTCAAGGGATCCACAAAAGCATCGAACTTTAACAAGTTTGGGGCAAGACGGACATGGCCCAGGATGGCAAAGCAACAAACAACGGTGCCCACAATTGTGCTTCAATGGTCTTCCACAAACGTCACCACAAGAATGAGGTAAAACCCATGGATCATCACTGGGAGGGTTCTCCAACTTCCCACAGAAGCAAAGGTACGCTTTTGGAATGTGGGTTTTGGGGTATTCGACCCTGCATTTCGGGCAGTTCCAGATGGCGGTGTCGGATGCCTTGTCGGGGGAGATGGGGAGGCGCGTGGCGGCACGTGCGGCGGCGAGATCGGAGGCTTGGCGAGCCCAGCTCTGGATGCAGATTAGGTGGAAGACGGCGAAGCAGAGAGAGGAGCATGACCAGGTGGGGTCGGAGGGCTTGATGCGTTCAAGGCATATGAGGCATGAGAGTGCGCCGGCGGAGGAAGAGGTGAGGAATGATTGGATCTTGGAGAGGTCGCCGGCGGTGGCGGAGGAGTGACCGGAGAAATCGAAGTATGATTTGAATATGGAATCGGAGAGGTCAGAGTGGCGGAGGGTCTCGGCGGTGGAGGAACCGCCGTCAGAGTCGGAGTCGGAGAGCGGCGATGGCGGTGGAGGGCGGTGATTCAGTGATGTCATGTTGGCACTTCTGCGCTCAACCACCTGTGACTCTGTTTATGTTTGCTGTTGTTTTTTCGTACCTTATGCAGTTCTGTAGTTGTGTTTACTATTTGTTCTGCTTTTGTGCATATTAAATAGATAAAATTTAAGTAAAAGATATGAATGATTATATATAATATTAAATAAGATATTAATTATTTAATATTTAGATGATAAAACTATTATTTTTCTATTAATGATAGCTTTTTGTTTAATTTCATCAAAATATCTATTTATTCATTCTTAATACGGGAGAAAAACTGAAACATAATCTTTAAAGTAAATTTTTTATAAGTTTTATAAAAAAAAGTTATCGAATAATTTAAGTCTTATTTTTTATTTAATAATAAATAATAAATTATTAACATTACGAAATATCAGTTACTACTTTTAATTTCATAACTTGAAGAACTTCAAAATTTATTTTTAGATCTATTAACTTAAACTGAAAATGAAATGATAAACCAATGATAAATAGATATTAAGATGGGATTTGTTCATCGTAAAATGGTGAATAGAGTCTGATAAATGGTTTCTGTTTTTCACACTTTGCCTCCTATGTCCTACACCAGGGAGATAATTACTTTTAGAATTTTTTTATTTTTTAAAAATTTATATAGAAAATCATTATAAATAACATTTTAATTTTACTACTTTTCGCAAATTTTAAAAGATAAAAATAGAATAAAAATAAGATGATAATTTATAACTAAAAGTAAAAAAAAAAAAAAAAAACAGAAAATACTTCTAAAATCAAACAAGCACTAAAAAATTATGATTTTTTTTTCCCAAAACCTAGTGTAATTGTGTTTTTGTGTTTCACGTAAGATATCAGAAATCTCATTCCTTCATTTCATCATGTTTTGAGTAACAAAATTTGCAGTTCCCCCAAAATTTATATTTTCGAAAAATCGAAGTTTAAAACATTGGATACTAATATGAACATAAGAAAAAGTATACAATTCAATGAAAGTGTTTTCTTTTTCTTTTATGAGAAATTGTGACATTATGCAAAGCAAATCAATAAAAGTCAACTACATAAAGAAATCGGCAATGGAATAAAATGCAAAGCATCAAACAGCTCCAAATTGAAGTATTAGCCATTTATACATCTAAATTGAACATGGACAAGCCTTACAACACAAATGACACAGCTCCTTAATGTCTCCTCAAGAAAACAAAATAAAGTGTGTGCACACATCTTATTATTATTTCTTAAAACAATGTTCAAAATCCCCGGAAACACACTCCTTGACATGGTATCCCCCAATAGATTTGATAAGTCTCACTCACTCGCAGCCTCAGATATATTCAGTTAAAGATAAAATAAACACATTGGATAAAAAGCATCATTCAAAATAAGTTACATTTACAATATTACAACACTGTACAACATATAGAGTAGATGGATGCACATAATCAAATGAATTCAAAGCGCACGAGAAGCTTCACATTGTTGTATTTTTCTCCTTTGCGGGAACGTAGTGGAACTGCTCGAATTCCACTTCTTAGTTCCCACACAGGTAAGCATGTTTGTCCACCAAAGTCATCCTTCTCAGACATGTCATACTCATGAACTTCTATACGAAGCAAAGCCAATTCTGGAACAGCAAGTGGGAACTCGAATACCTCATTCCATGAAGGCAACCAATTATCCTCTATACTCCTTGTTTTTTTCATAATTGTATCACTAGGGACTCCAGCAATGCCCACCTGCATAAGAGTATGTCAAATAATTACAGGGAAGGTACCATATGTTATAAACTAACCGCATGGAAGCAAATTTTATTATAGAAAAATGTTAACATCGGTCTTTAAAATTGAGTTTAAGCATCTAAAATTGAAAGTTTTTAAAAGAAAAGAAAACATCAATCAACATAATGGTTTAGTAGATTATCTTCACATACTCTTGTGTAGAAGTCTGGTGGTGAGAATTGATCAAAGTGGGTGTGCTTGAAATCCTGATACCATCCTTCACCCATGTATATGGTTACCTAAAAAGAGTAAGAATAGTATGGACTTTGTCGGTATATAGATTAAAGACATTTGAAAGAGGTAGCTAATGGACACAGGATTGGAAACCGTTATTGAAATCTGCAGACACTTTACCTTTAAAGTAGTCTTGACAGGCAAATGAGCTTTAGGATCAAAGACTTCATTATTCGGACCTGCCTTTAATAGAAAATCTGGTTTTTTAACATAACCGCATCCGCCATTGGCTTTGAACATTCCATGCATCAACCAAAGAGATCTCCCATACCCCTACCATGAAATGGAAACACCACAAATTAGAGGACATCTTTCATGATGTCAATATCATTAGTAACTACCTGATGTTATACGTATGCAATAGCAATGTTTAGTGTAGTAGCTTGTTATTACTATTGGTTTGGACTTCTCAAATAACATGAAAAGGAAAAATGAGGGAGGAAGAAATAGAAACCTGCATGTTAAATGCAACCATCTGAGCTCCATGCATCCACCCAATCAATGGGTTATAATTTGTAGAGGTAATGCGAGTACCTTTGGGATACACTCTAAGTATATTCCGCTGAGTAAATCTGCCAAGAATCAGGAAATAAATACTTCTCTTTTCATTTGAAAATAAACAAAACATCCTACAATGGGTTTGTTACAAATACAAACGGCTTTGGATTTGTTTCAAACTTCAAAGAATGAGACAGTCATTGGATGTGCTGCCTAAAACATAATGCATTCTACCTGTCAGATAGGTGCCATTAGAATTAGTAAGCGTTAATGCCAATGGCCTATTTGGTTTAATGTTAAATCCATTCAAACATGTATTCATTTCAATGATACAAGTTATAGTTTTCACATTGAAACAAGAGTTAACATAGTTTATTGAACTTTCAAACACGCACTAAATAGTCAGACACATAAGCAGTAAACCATCTAAAAGACATAAATCATAGTCAAGGACTATCTAGTATGGCATTTGTCTCATATTTATTACTTGTAAAATCGTATAAGATATAGAAAACCAAAATAAAGGTTAAATTTTACTACATTTGCATCACTAAATAGATTTAACAATACCTGACAATTTCTTTTCCATGAGTTTCAGCAGCCTTTTCAAGCTGTAGCTCACTTAAACTTAGACGTCTCACTTTATCAGGATCCACTTTGAGACATTCCTCTAACCCACCTTTAGGCTTCCCGGCATGAATGGCAATCAAACGTCTGTATTCTTGTGATGCATTTTGACGCTTATTTTCTAATTCATCAGTATCTTCCTCATTATCAAGTTCATCTTCATCCCCATTGTTCTACAAAAGATGATAAGCCAGAAAATGAATCAACCAACCCCTCCCTTATAGAAAGAAAAATGTAGTGGCAATTACTATACAACATTGAAACTTAGTCACAGACCTTGTAATCAGAGATAGTTCCACCTCTTAAACTTGGGACTTCCCTCCCCCATGCTTCTTCATCATCTGTATGCTTTCCTTTCTGTGTTTCCTCCTCCTTTTGCTGCACTTCTTTTGCCTCAAGGTACTCCTTAGGTGGTTTTGTTGATATAATAATCCTCCTTTTAAGTGATTCAGGAGAAGGAAATTCCTTCAAGCTTTCTGAGCTAGGACAAAACAGTATGTCTCCAAATGTTCGAGTAATCATCTAAAAGTTCAGAACAGAAGTGTCAAGCGTCAACAATTATAAGAATGTAAGCATTTTGAATTCCTATAGAACAAGTAACTAACCTCAGCCACTTTGGCCTGAAGATCAGGGGTAAGGTGGTCTTCTAAGGTTATTACAACTGGATATTCTGAGGCTACAAAGGCATGCTGCTTAATTGACCTCAAACATTTGATGAGTGCTACTGGAGAAGTCAAAGTCCTTTATTACCAGAAAAAAAAAAAATTATGTGAAGATTCAAAATATTTGGGGAATAAATCTAAATCCAAAGTGTCATCGTCAGTAACAATATGTTGAACCAGTAAAGTCACCTTCCATGAAGAACATCCACATTATCCTTTGATGCATTAGGCCATATATCTAATTCAATCACCCTGACACCTCTCTCCAGTGCACTGATGATGGGGGCGTCACTGCAGTCACTGCTAAGCTGATTCCCAGTTAGATATGAATTGTGACCAGTATAAATGTAGTAGTGAGACAATGGAAAAGTCATATCTTGGTGCACCTGGAAATTGAACAGAAGAAATAATATTAATTATGTTAGAAATAAATGTGTATGCCAAGACCCAAATTTTTCATGTACTGCATTTTAGTTGTAATAATAAAATGTTATTTTCTTTCTTTATCACATATACACTGTTTTGATATAATGGTTTATTTGATAAAAAAATTTGATTAAAATTAAAAACTTGTTATCATAGTAGAGATTATGAAAATGGAAACATGTCTTTTATAATTTAATCTAAACTGTTATTGATCATAAAATTATTATAAATAAAACATTGATAATTCGGATAAATTAATATATATGTGATAGTATTCATTGGATAAATATTAATAGATCTCATTTATTAATTTATACATATAGATGACACGAATATTGTCATTAAAATGACTCAAACTGAGAATTTTTTATGATTAATATTACTTTATATTGTCAATAGAAAATTCTCTATAAAAATATAAAAAAAAAATTTGACCTAAAATTATCTTAATGATCAATAAGTTATTTATTATATTTTAATTCTAGACACCTATTGGTTTAGAGCACTAGTTGAAAAAATATTAAATATAATTGAATACTTGTAGGATTAATGATAGTTCAAGATGAAATATATCAACTCTAGGTAATAAATTTGAACTCTATTAAAAATTAAGACGTTGGCTAGGTAATTGAATAAAAGCATAAATGAGTTTTATTAAGTTCTTGTTAGAGTTTTGACAAATTATATCATACTCTATAGTGAATTCAAATCTATATGTATGGAGGAAAATATTATATTATTTTTTAACAGTTCTTGAAAGTAAAATATAAATTATTTCATACTATTCGGACATTGAAAAGTGTTACTAGACACTAACTTTGATTAGTAAATTAATTTATTATTAATTTGATATTGAACCATCAGATCACACACTAACGAGTGTTCTAATCTTTGTAAAAGAAATAATTTTCTTATTTGATGATTTAAATTGTAGAATTTATTTTATCAAATAAATAATATTTTCTTTAAATAAAATATTATTATATATTCTTTGCTAGTATCAAAGATATTAATAATAAGGTAAGAATAGAGTGTAATTTTGATAATCAACTAAAATTTAAAAGTTAAAAATGTATTTGTCGACAATTGATTTGGTCAACAGTTATCAACAAAAAAAGGAAAAATTAGTTGACAGTTACAAGATAATGGAACAATAAGCAAGAGACTAAAAATTTGATTTGAAACGTAAATTCATGAATTGGTAACCAATATAGATATAAACGTAAATTCATGAACTGGTAACCAATATAGATATGTTATCATATATATCAAGCAAAGTGTTACTCATGGTAGACTAAGAAAACACAAGATTAAAAATTCTTTTTTTCTCTCTCTCACTCTGCTGGTAATTGTTTTATAGTCAAAGAATTGACACAAAGGATTAGTCTCAATATAGCTAAGCATGGGTCTTCATACCATTGAAGAAAAAATTATAAACTTTTAAGATTACCGGATAATTTTTCTTACTCAAATTTTGTTATTATTGCATTATAAATTTGCATAATTTAAACATAAATAAGATTGAATTTTCAGCTGCGTTTGATTTAGAAGGTATTCTACCTTCAAATTACACAAACATGATAATCAGAACAACAAAGTATCACAAAAACATATATTCCACAACATTATATCAAAATTCAATACCTATGAAAGTAAATGATTACTTAATAGAAGCTTTACATCAGATGAAAGCCAGCATTACCAAAACTCCATATCTACAACTACAATTAACTGATAAGAAGTATGGCAAATTCTAATCAGTGGGTGCAGGGCACCAATAACGAAATCAAAGTGCATGTTCTATTTCACATCTACCTGGCTCGAATCCACGTTTAATTCAATTTACTACTTATAAGTTATGCGTTGGATTTACATTTACACTTTTTTTTAACATATTTTTAAATACACACAAAACCGAAAGATTTTGTCAAAAAAATATTAATAATGCATATTTTCGTGATTTCTAACGCATCCTAACATGATTTCAATAATAATAATAATAATAAAACCTTTACTTTTAATTCCTTAACCAATCTAAGAGTGTAGACTTATCACCAAAATAAAACTGAATCACTGTAAATTCAACCGAAATGTACCATATTAATTACTCGTTGAGATTGATAACTATTTATGGGTAAGAAGAAAAACAAAAAGTTAGAACATAAAAGGGGAAAAAAAACAAAAAAAATGATAAAGAACAAAACTTTAGGCAAATACAACAGCTTAAAAGTAGAGTTTTATTTTAATAATTTACGCAATCAAAATCAACAGCACACAGTGTTTAATTTAAGTAAAACTCAGTCTTAATTAAATAAAAAGAGCACCAAAAATACTTATGTACGGCAGAATTATTCCTTTGCTAAAACCACTCCACAAATGGAAACTAAATAAAGAGAACATCAAAAACATTTAATATTAAAGTACAAAGAAGAACAAGAGAATGTGTTTAATTACCACTTGAGAAGGTGAGAGAGGTGAGTTGTTTTGACTGAAGAGATAGTTAAAGAAACTCTCGAGATTGAGACCTCTTCGGTGGAAGATACTCAAATGCTTGTGGCCATCGATGATGCCTTGTGCTTCCTCCTCAGTGCTCCTCTCTTCCCTCTGCACCTCAACAAGGAAACTCCGCAGGTGAGTCGCTGTCATCACCCCATTCTCATCGGAGTAACGTTCGAAAAGAGTCCTTATCTCCGGCGGAGCCTCTGACACGGAGAGCTTGAAGCGCCGCCGGCAACAGAAGCAAACGTTGTAAGTCTGTTTCGACATGTTTTGCGTGTGCTTCTGTGTCTCTAACTCTGTCTTCTTCAACGAGATTGTGAACGCGTGAAGGGCGCGTAAAGTGTTGGTTGCGTGTGTTAAGGATAAGGTTTTGGTCGGAAAATGAATGCGTTTTGTTGGCAAAGTATGAGGGAAAGAAGATACAGAGAGAGGTTTTGATCACATCATCTATAGTTACGTAGATGCATTTGTGGGACCCACTTTTGGCCTCTGACCAATTACATGTTAGGCACGTGGCACTGTTCTTCAAATCTCTTTTGGAACTTTACCACTCTGTTTCGATGCAATTTGGATTGTTCTGATTGGCCAAAATAGATTGATGGAAATAAAATCTTATTGTTTATTGTTATATCTTTTAAATAAAAATGCAAGGATGCTTATTAATAGAATAAAAAGGTGATATTCAATAAAAGTATTTTATTTTTTAAATAAACAGAAAGAATTAATAAAGACTTAATTATATTTATATTTTTTTGTATTTTAATTTATGTGTAATTTTTGTTCCCTTTATTCTAATTGTTTGCTTATTTTGGTTCCTAGTACTTTAAATAAAAATAGAGAAAAAAAATTCTTTATATTATATTATTTAATATTTTTTGATAAAATATAAAATTGATCAGATTAATTAAATAATTATTTGACAGATTTTATCAAATAAATTAACTTTATAAAATTTGATTAAAAGATAAGTAATTTATTGTGTCATTTTATTTTAATTAGTAATATGTTTTTAAAAATATTGTAGATATTTAAATAATAAAAAATTATATATATAATCATAAAGATAATATAAAATAATTCAATAATTAAATTAGTCAATTTTATATTTTATAAAAATTTATTAAAAATATAAATATTAAAATTCAGGACTTGATTTTTCTGATTCTTCAACTCATAAAAGACATGTGAAATAAAGAAAAACGTGAAAAATGAAAAGAATTAATATTAAAATATTTAATTTCATTTGATAAGGATGTAGATAAATACAATAGAAGCGTGGCCCACCAAATAAGTAATTCATGACATGAGCTGTTAATACGGCGTTATCTAATTTGACGTGGTGACACCAAAAGGTAGAACAAATGAAAGGTGCGCACGCGAGCCACGTTACCACGCAGAAAATTATATTAATATGCTTTTAATATTTTTGTACTCTTAAATGAAACTTTATATTATTTTTATTAAATAAATCATATTTATTATCATTGAAAGAATCGGTTTGAATTGACATTTTGATAAACAAATTAAAAACCAAAAATATGATAATAAACTATTAGCCGTGTCTACAATAACATCACCCAAAACTTTTCAAAGGAACACCAAAATACCATTTTGGGTTCATCCCTTTTAAATCACTTATGATATCTTAAAAGGCTGCAATGCCACCACACAAATTTACGACCGCACACACAATGGTTATATGTTTTATTTATTTTTGGCAAGAAAAGCAAAGAAAATTGTGATTCATAATCACAATGGCAAGTCTGTATCAATACAAACTGTGACTTCCATGCCAAAAAATTAGTAAAAGACCAGCACAATGTTGGAACTTGTTTTTTGGGCCTCATACTGGTACTTGTTTGCTGTCTGTATATATATATACCTAAAACTTTAGTGTAATCTTGAAGGCCATGGTACAAAATTGTAAGTTCTTAACAATGTTTTTTGTATTGATGTTTATGGTGCAGGAAATATAACATACTAAAGATCAAAATACTATTGCAAGGTGCTAATAAAGATAAAGATAATTATCATTACAATGACTTTATATCCATTATGTAAAAATACTATTGGAATGCTTGATTGACATCAAATTCACTTAAACATGTATGTATTTCAATACTGTAAATTATAGTTTTCACATTGAGATGTGGTTAATGTGATTTTAGAGTTTCCAACCACACTATATAGCTGATCCCCATAATTCATAGAAACTGAAACCGCATTAAAAGCCTCACAGATTTTAATTTGTCTCCTTTGTCATCATACAGAGGGACTGATCGGAATCCAGATTTTAGCTCTGAGACTGGCAAACATGTTTGTCCACCAAAGTCATCCTTTTGATGCTTATCATTGTCTCTAACTTCTATGCGGAGCAAAGCCAACTCTGGAACAGTCAACGGGAACTCAAACTCTTCGTCCCATACGGGAAACCAATTATTTGAAACTACACTTGTTTTCTTCTTGGCTATATCAGCAGGAACTCCAACAATACAAACCTGTTATATAAATTGATCAAATGCGTAGGATGAGTATAATAAACTTCAAATCCAATTGCAAAATGTCTCTTTAAATCAATAAATCATAAATGCTTAACTATGTCCATTGGGAGATTGGAGTTTCCTAATCTGCAACATTAGCATAATTAGCCAACTCACCTTAGTGAAAAAGTCTGGTGGTGAGTAAGTATCAAAGTCTGTTTGGCTGAAATCTGAGCTCCAACCATTCCCCAAGTAAACTTTTACCTACAGGTGGAGGGAGACATTCAGAAGATGTCACCAAACTAACTGATTTCCCTTTCTAAATAATTATCTCACCCTTAAGGTTTTCTTCACTGGTAGTGTTATTTTAGGATCAAAAACCTCATCATTTGGACCTTTGTGAATAAGAAATTCAGGCTTTTTCACATAACCACACCCTCCATTTGCTTTAAACATTCCTTGCATGAACCAGAGTGATTTACCATACCCCTAATAAAGAAAACCACCACGCATTAGAAGGACAGTGTTGTCGTAGAAGATTAAGCAAAAAACATAAATGTAGATGGACGGACAGAACTTATGCTATTTCCGGCTTGAAAATCCACATAAACAAAGAGATAATAAAATAAATGCCACCAAACATATTAAGAAGCACCAGGGAAAAAAATCTAAGAAAACCCTTTATTTTTTCAAAACAGCCACGGACATAAGTCCCAAACCTGCATGTTAAATGCAACCATTTGAGCACCATACGTCCACCCTATGTGTGGCTTGTAATTTGAGGAGGTGAGACGTGTTCCCTTTGGATACACTCTGAGAATATTCTTCTGTGTAAACCTGGAAAAAGGCATAAAAAGTATGTCTTACAATTGGGAAGCTGTAAACTATTAAAAGTGTCATAAACCTTTGCATTTACCAATGCAAAGTTTCACTGCTAAAAAATACCTAACAATATCAGGTCCATAAGAGTCAGAAGCCTTTTCAAGTTTTTGTTCGCTCAAGCTTAAGCGCCTGACTTGACCAACAGCTTTTAATTCATCCTGTACATCACCCTTCGGTTTCCCAGCATGGATTGTAATCAAGCTTTTGTACTCAGGTGCACTCTGCTAGCGTGATTTTTCATCATATGCATTCAAATCTTCCTTAGTTATAATATAAAAGATGATATAAACATGACGATCATATAGAAGTATATAAATCAAATGCCACTTGAGCATAACGTAGCTCAAATATCCAAGATTTAGGCAGAGGATCATATGTTCAAGTGACAAATGCAAATCAATTATTGTCTAAATTCACCTTGTCATCGTCAGTTTCCGGTTCATCAGTAAGGTCTGGCGATGATGATTCTTCCTCAGCTGATTCTTTTTCGTTGTCCTTGTCATCACATTGGGTGGATTCAAGAAATTCTTTAGGTGGTTTGGTTGATATAAGAATTCGACCTTTCAATGATACTGGTGTGGGAAATTCCGTAAGTGTATCTGTCTGAGGATAATAAAGCAAGTCTCCAAATATTTGAGTTGCCATCTACATTTAAGAAGAAGGAAATTCACAATCAGCACCTAAAAAAAACGGGATTTGAAGTAGATACTTGAAGGAGGGAAATAGAAAGGAGACTTACCTCTGCAACTTTAGCTTGAAGATCTGGAGTAAGATGATCTTCTAAAGTTATAATGACTGGGTAGTGAGATTTAACAAAAGCATTCTCTTTTATGGACTTCAAACATTGGATGAGGGAGACGGGAGTGGTAAGAGTTCTTCAAGAATTCAGAAAAATGCCCATAAGTAGTTTTATAAGTAGCACCATAAAAATTTCACAAAACTACAAGATGATAAGATGTGAAAAGAAAGATAATCTAATTTTACAAGATTGAACTGAGGATAAGCTAGCACCTTCCATGAACTACATCAATATCATCCTTAGTTGAATTGGGCCACAAGTCTAGTTCAATTACTCGCACACCTCGTTGCAAAGCCTTTATGATTGGCACATCACTGCAGTCACTGCTCAGTTGATTCCCAGTAAGATAGGAATTGTGTCCAGTATATATGAAATAATGTGACAACGGAGCATCCATATCATGATGTACCTGGAATATGACATCATTTGTATTGCAAGAGACCTAAACCATTGTTCTTTTACAGACATGTAGAAAAATATGCATGAAAATTCAAAATAAAACCCCATTAAAAAGGAGAGACAACATCTATATACTATATGCAAAAGAAAAAGACACTACTAAATTCACCAAAAACAAATAATAAATACACAATACACCACTAATCTTGAACTTGAGTCTCTTTAATGAACTCCCTTCTTATGTATATTTATCTTTTAGTGCAGTGTACAGTATATACTAGAATTTCTCCCACATTAGTCCGCATTCTTTATGGGAATTCGTTGGATTTTTCGATTAGTTTATGAGCTAGAAGAAAACTCAATGAGTACATACTTATTTTCATAGAAATCACCTCTTCTATTTCTACTCATATCTCTCTGTTCCTGTTAAGAAATCCCACGTTCTTAGACAGTTCTGTGAGGAACAAAAATTTGATTTATGCCAATTTCCATTTCGAGCTTTGCCATATATTTTTATAACATTTCTTATGATTCTATAAAATAAATCTTAAATGAAAAATATTTATTATTTTAAAATTAAAAAACATTTACTATTATTTTTATTCAATAATTAAAAACTTATAAAAAATATATAGGAGAATATAAAATTCAACTAAGTATTATCTCTAATATTTTTTTACATGATATCCATAATTAAATTATACAAATTAAAAAAATAATTAAGATTCATTGCTTTTTTAAAATTTTTAAAAAACTTTACAACATATCAACTTTATTCTCAATTAATATTATTAATTTTGATACATTATTAATATTTTTATCTTAAAATTTGTTCACTGATTTTACTATATGTTTTGCAGCAACTCTATTCATTAAGAATAAATACAAAATAATAAACAATTTATAAAAATTATATAATATCTTATAACAAAAAAAACTAATAACTCACTCCACCTACTTGTCCAAAAAAACTAACCTGCACCACCTGACTGTTTCATAAGCAATAAATCCACGTAGAAATTGATTCTTCTGCCTAGATTATAAATAATCCTCAAACAGTTAAGAGCCTAACATGGCTAATACTATATGACAAGAAGAAGTAACGCATTTTTATCATTTTTAATAAATCTTATTCAATAATGCATCAACAAGAAGATATTAGAGAGTATGGTGATAAGTTGGAGACTATGTAGTTAACTTTCTAGCCGATAGACACTAGTGCAAATTGTTTCCTTAAATTAAAAATAAATATGTTAAAATAACACAGTACTATCTATATTGTTTTGCATCAAACAGGATAATACAATAAAGTACTCTAAATTTTGAGATAATAGAGTGAGGAATTAGAAAAAAAAAAAAATTCCTGAGAAGAGAGAATTGACCTGGGATTTCAAAGGGGTATTGAAATGATGGTAGAGCAAGAAATGGAAGAACTGGTGGAGCGTGAATCCACTTTCCTGATCGTGTTCCCCCGATTCCAACACGATCTGCTGGCAATCCGATGTGGTGCAGTCCACTTCATCCTGATGCTCCGTCAGGAACCGGAGGAGCTGATCGGCGGACATGGAGGGATCGCCACCGGCGAACTCGGAGAAGGCTTTTTCGACGTCGGCCGGTGGGCCCGCTTCGGTGACGGTGAACTTCCTGTTAAAGCAGCTGAAGATTTTGTAGCTGTGAGTGGCCATCGTTACGCTGAATGTGTTAATCGATTTCACATTAAAGAAGAAACAATAAAAACTTCAAAGTTATCGATGCGCGTTTCTACACAGAGATAGCGATTGAAACGGAATGGAGTTTGCAATTGGAACGGGTGACTATGCTACATGAACCAACGGAGAGTGCTATGAAAACAGTTTTTTTTTTTAACGTAATTTACAAATACAGTTTCATTTATATATTGTTATTACTTTGTTATTTACTAAATTTTTCCTATTTGTTATCTATTAACTTCTTCCATTTTTTGTATGTATATTACTCTTTTTATTGTTGCTTTTTTTATTTAAAAATATGAAAATACAGAATACAATAATAACAACGAAATAACGGAACTGTTACTGTGGGGAAAAGGTAAGGGAATTGAGACACTTGGAGCAACACTAATGGTGAAACATGTCATAAAAATTACTATAATCACTAAGTAATAAAATAAAATTTCTAGTTATATTATAAAATGTAAAACAAACTCCTAAGTTAACTTAACTAGGAATGGGTTGATGTGACTCCAAATATGAGTGAACAAGTTAAGTTTAAAAATTTAAAATATTTGTGAGCTAATTTTTTTAACTCCGTTCATCTATAACTATAACTTACGAGTTATATTAATAGTATATTTAGATTACGTTTAAATAACATGAATTTGTATTTTTTTTTTTAATATTATTAGTTGTTTTACGTTAGATCTATATTTACAAAATTTTTAACTTATTGTTAAACATATTTATTCACAGATCATGTTTGATTTTGACAACTCTAATTTAAGAATTTTTTTTTTACTTTATCCAACCCAAAATCATTCAAGAATTAAAAATTTTGGGACGAATTAATAAATTGTTTTGACCTTGTTTTAATGAACAAGAAAACAAATTGATTAAAATATCTGGTTCTAAATTAGTAATAGAAGTAGTTTATTGCTTTTGGAAGAGGCTATGCTATCTTTAATTAAAGACCTGTCTACGCAAAATATTGACATTTTAGGTTGAAATTATGCAAACATCTGTTGCAAAATGACTGATTACTTACCAGCCATGTCTTCTTCAGGTGGCCAATCTCATGATTCCCATGGAATTTTTGAAAAAAAAAAAAACTTAGGTATAACATTATAGTTGTTTTTTAAGTTATTTTTAATTGTTATTAGAGTTTTATTTTATTAACATCTGTCGACTTTTAATATTACTTTTTTTGTCATGAATTAAAAATATTACTTTTTTTGTCCAATATTATTTACAGATTGCCAGAACATTTAAGTTATATGGTATGAGGTTTTTTTCTTTTTTATGACTTACATTAGAAGGTAATATCCAAAGGTAAAAGGGCAGGTTTATTTTTACGAAATAAAGTAATAGTTGGAAAACAGTTAAAAATAAATCAGCAACATTCACTTATCCATTGATTAACTGTGTCAATTACAAACAGCAATCAAGTATGTGATGTTGAAAATAAGAAGATTATCTCAAAATTCTATGTAATTGTTTCTAGCTGGATAAAAAAGGTTCTTTTAATGCATTGCAATCTGCATTACAATATGTTTAAATGAATGATATATAAAATTATTTCTAAATTTCAAGCTTAAACCGCATTAGAAGCTTCACAGAATTAAATTTCTTTCCCTTTCGATCATACAGAGGGACTGACCGAAATCCATGTCTTAGCTCTGATACGGGCAAACAAGTTTGTCCTGCAAAGTCATCCTTTCCCTTATCTTTATCCTTTACTTCAATCCGAAGCAAAGCAAGCTCAGGAACAGTTAAGGGGAATTCAAACTCTTCATCCCAAACAGGATACCAAGTGTCCATCTTTACTTTTGTTTTCTTCTTGTCAGAATCAGCAGGCACTCCAACAATGTATACCTGTTAGACAATTTGATCAAACATTATAGGATAAATGTACAATAATTTATACTTCTATGTTTCTTCTATGTGTCTTCTTCTTTAATATTCTTATCCAAGATGAAATATATTTACAGTTTTATTAAGCATTTTAAGAGCGTAAGGTTTTATTTGAAAAGAAAACATATATTATATTACAAAAATACAATTATAATAAATATTTTAAAAAAAAATAAAAACTTACTATTTTTACATGTTTAATGTTAACATTTTCTATTTATGTAACCAATCTCTTAGCATAAAGTTCCTCATTTTGAAAGTAGTGTATTCCACTTTAATAGAAGTGGTAATGGAGTAAATTAAAAGATCAAATGATCAAAGGACTTTGTTTAACAATGTTCGTTATCAATATTCAATAGTGGATACATATCATCAAATTTATTGGTGAAGATCACTTATGGTATGGAGAAATATGGAACTGACCTTTGTGTAAAAGTCTGGGGGAGAGAACCGATCAAAGTGTGTTGCACTGAAATCTGAACTCCAGCCATCTCCTCTGTATACTTTTACCTATTGTTGAACATGAAAATTGTTAGAAATAAATGTGTATATCTAAGATCCAAAATTTTCATGTAGTGCATTTTAGTTATAATAATAAAATGCTATTTTTTTTTTAATCTTATATACACTGTTTTGATATAATAGTTTATTTGATAAAAGTCTATTAAAATTAGAGACTTGTTATTATAGTAGAGATTATAAAAATAAAAAACATGTCTTTTATAATTTAATATAAATTATTTTTATCATAGGATTATTATAAATATGATATTAATAATTTAGATAGATCAATATAAATATCATAGTATTTTTTATGAATATTAATAGATCTTATTTATTAATTTATAAATATAAATAACATATAAGGATGTGGTCATTGAAGTGATTCAAATTGAAAATTTTTTATGGTTAATATTATTTTATATTGTCAATAAAAAATTCTCTAAAAAAATACAAATTTTTCTTTGACCTGATATTATCATAATGATCAACAAGTTATTTATTATATTTTAATTCTGGATACCTATTACTTTAGAGCATTAGTTGAAAAGATATTGGATATAATCCAATACTTGTAGGATTAATGATAGTTTAAAAAGGAATTCATCAATTCTAAGTAATGAATTTGAGCTCTATTAAAAATTAAGACCTTGATCAAGTAATTGAATGAAAGAAGAAATGAGTTTTCTTAAGTCATTCATGATTAACTTGTTAAAGTTTTAATAAATTATATTGTATTCTAGAGTTAATTTAGAGTCATAAGGATAGAGAAAAATGTTATATTATTTTTAATGGTTTGAAAGTAGAATATAAATTACTTCATACTGTTCAGACTTAAAAGAGTGTTGCTCAACACTAACTTTAATTAGTAAATTAATTATTATTAATTTATTACTGCTTGATATTGAACCAACTGGTGTTTTAATCTTTCACGGTGAAAGAATTTTCTTATTTGATGATTTAAATTGTAGAATTTATTTTATCAAATAAATAATGTTTCTTTTAAATGAAATATTATTATATATTCTTTGCTAACTCCAAGATATTAATAATAATATAACAATAGAGTGTAATTTTAATAACCGACTAAAATTCAAAAACTAAAAATGCATCAGTCAACAATTGACTTGTTCATTAGTTATAAATAAAAAGAAGAAAAATCTTACAAAACACTAAAAATTTAATTTTAAACGTGAGCTCATATATTGATAACTGAGATATATTATTATATATATCAAGTAAAATGATGCTCATAAAAAACTAAGAAAACACATGACCAAAAATTCTTTTCCTTTCTCTTTTACTCTGCCGGTGATAATTTAATAGTCAAAAGTTGATTATTAAATTTTTTCTTCACACTATTGAAGAAAAAATTATAAACTTTCAAGATTATGGAATAATTTTTTTTACTCGAATTTTACTATTTTTGTGTTATAAGTTTGCATAATTTAAACACAAATAAGATTTAATTTTTTACTAAGTTTGGTTCAGAACGTATTCTACCTTCAAAAGTATTCATATGTTATGAAACAACCCAATTTCCTTTCAGCAAAGTGAGCAAGGATATGCTTACTTTTAATATCTGCTTCACCGGCATTGTTCTTTTAGGATGAAACTCCTCTTCATGTGGAAGTTTTCGGATCAGAAATTCAGGCTTTTTAACATAACCACACCCCCCATTTGCTCTGAATAACCCCTGCATCAACCTGAGTGATTTGTCATGCCCCTGTCATAAGAAAACAAATATGTTGGTTGTACTTCAAGAACTTAAGCTTTTAGGTCAATAAAACTCTGATAAATTTTAGCTAAGAATCATATGACTTATTAATACTTCAAAATGGAAATGATTTGAGATTGCACCACATTACATAGAAAAACAGTTACGAATTCCTTTTTATCTAATCTAAAAACTATGCTTTATGTGTTGGTTGTAACTTTCCAACCTGCATATTGAATGCCACCATTTGAGCTCCATAAATCCACCCTAAATGTGGTCTGAAATTTGAGGATTGGACACGTTCTCCTTTAGGGTAAACTCTCAGGATATTTTTCTGTGTGAACCTGCAAAGCATAACAATCAGTATCAAGTCATATTATGGTAGTTTTAATAAGTGTGTCATAGGCATAGGTGTGGTCACTTGTCAGCTATAGAAATGATCAAATAAGTTTTGATATGTACCTAATAAGGTCTGCTCCATGAGACTCACAAGCACTTTTAAGTTTCTTCTCACTCAAGCTTAGCCGTCTAACTTTAGTATCATCTTTCAGTCGATCCTTCATAGAACCTTTTGATTTTCCACCATAGATTGTGATCAAGTGTTTGTATTGACGTGCATCTTGCTGATTTGGTATGTTATCACATTCATTTATGTCTTCATGATCTTCATCACTTGCATTCTATTATCCATTTAAAGAAAATGTTAATGCAAAGGACTAACAATTCTTTTTTTTTTTGGCTTATATAATCTGTTTTCTTCTCTTTAATAAAATTATTAATGTTTGTTTTTCTCACCTTGTCTTCAGTTTTCAGTTTAGCCATAGAATCTTGCAATTCAAGTCCCCGTGATTCTTCTTCAGATGAATCACTTTCATTTGGCATAGGTTTGCTGATACTAGATTGTGGATATTCCTTTGGTGGTTTGGTTGATATAACTATCCTATTTTTCAGTGATTCTGGTGAGGGGAATTCTGTCAAACAATCTGTCTGAGGACAATAGAGCATTTCTCCAAATATTTGAGTTGCCATCTGCATGAATAAAAATAAAAAATCATGATGAAAAAGCAATGTAAAAATAGGCATGTCAATTTAACTAGATTTGTATTTCTTTTGCGGGTGAAGTGATTGAAAATGATTGCCTACTGCTGCAAATTTATCTTGAAGTGTAGATGATAAGTGGTCTTCCAATGTTAGAATAACTGGAAAATCAGATTTAACAAAAGCATATTCCTTTATGGATCTAAGACATTTGGTCAGTGAAACAGGAGTGGTGAGAGTCCTGCATTGATTCCAAGAAAGAAGTCAGAATATCACAAAATATGAGCAAGCAATCATCCAACTCCCTAAGAATTATTTTTTTACTTTGCTAACAGCTCTATAAAATGAACTTTTAATAACCAGCAAGTACCTTCCATGAACTACTTTAATACCATCTTTAGTTGATGATGGCCATAAATCTAGTTCAATTACTCGCACACCCTGTTGCAAAGCCTCTATAATTGGCTCATCACTGCTCTCACTGGTAAGTTGATTCCCGGTCAAATAGGAATTGTGCCCCGTATACATGAAATAATGTGACAAGGGAGCACTCATATCATGATGTACCTGGAATGACATATGATTTATAAATTGCCATGAAGAAATTGAAGCATACCCAAAGCAAGCTAGAGACATTTACATATGAAAAAAAAAACAAAACAAAAAGAACGTGGCACCCCTTAGGAAACACAGAAATAATAATAAACATAATGAAACAAAGAACATGTCTTATTATTTTTGTTATATGATAAGGTTTTTCATTAGAAATTAATTTTTAATTTTGAATTTTCTAGTGCACTTTTCTGTCTACAGCAAGATTCTTGTACCTGAAACAATTACTGCTTATCCCATGAGTCATGACATGACAATTTTCTACATTCACACCGAATCATTTTTTGTAAGATAGATAGCAACATTTTATCTGGCTGTCATGTCTATGAACTCTGGTCAGGTCGCATTCACACACTTCTATCAACATGCAACATAATTAGTTGGCAAACAAATACATAGTAGCCAGAGAATGAAACAGTACAAAACAAGCTACATTGCACAAGTGGTTAATAAACTAGAAGCATGGAAGAAGTTATCTGGGAAGAGAGATTTTGGAGAGAAGAGAAAGAAAATAATTTTTTTTATTTTAAATAAATATATTTAAAATTAGTATTTTATTCAAAATAAAATTAATATATTAATATAAATTGAATATATTAATCATATATTTATCTATATAATTTTCTTAATTTAAAATTAAAAAATATGTTCTGTGCACACAATAATATCATGGTTGAAGAATTTTTCTACCTCAGTTTGTCAGTGTTCAAACAGACGAAGTGCATACCTCCTCTTTCAAGGGACCATTGAAATCATCAAGGAGCAAAAAATCAATGAAGTCATTGAGACTTAATCCTTGCCTCCTAAGCACATCTGCAACACTACTATTACTGCTAGTTTTAGTGCTAGAACTTCCTACTTGCAAAACCTTTTGAACTATTTTCTCCAAATCCTCAAAGGTGTTGATTTTTTCTCCCTGGTGATCCACCATGAACCTAAGAAGCTGATCCTTCATTATTTGGTTCCCTCCTCTAGCAAACTTGGAAAATGCCTCCTTAATGTCCAAAGGGGGTTCTGCCTTGTTGACTTCACCTTTTCTGGTCAACAAACTTAACAACTTGGTCTTGTAGCTCTCCATTTTCATTCGCACCCTTCCCTGCCAACAGTTAAATTTCTCGGTGGATTTGGAAGAGAAACCAAAGAAATATTATTAAAGAATAAAAAGTGCAGATTAAAGAGGTTACGAGTAAGACAAGTAGGCCAACCTTGGCATTAGAGCCTTTATTTTTATCTGTTTTCATTGGCTTAGGTCCTTTGTTGTCTGGAAGTGCTGTGTGTGTTGGATCTGCGATTGAATATTTAGACTATATACTACCAAAATTAAACAAAGTAAAATAAATGTTCACACACAAAAATTGTTTCTTTTAACTTTTCCTTGGGATTAGCCTTATAAAAAAAATGAAGTCATGGAGACCTTGATATAAAATGTCGTTAATGAATGTTAGACATGATATTTTAATTCAAGTTGATATTCACTATATTGTCCGGTTAGTAGAAAATGTTTGTTGTGTCAACTTTCTGAATAAAAATGAGGCCATCACTGGTAACTTCTGGTATTAGTTAGACTTATTTTCACATTGACATGCATTATATGGGGGAGACCATAAGGGATCATAAGGGGGAAATAATAGAAAATATGAAAGCATTCTTTCTTAGTGGGAAAGAGTCAAAGGTTTAACAAAGAGGGAAAATATTTTTTTTTATCTTTTTCATTTTTTATATGTTTCAACTACTATATGTTTGGGTGGATGAGTTTTCTGGAATAACAATTTTCTTCTTTGGGGATGGGTGTTGACAGATTACAAAATATTTTGTGTCAATTATTTAAATTGATTATAATTAGTATTTTTTATCACATGAAAATTATGAGTAAAATTAATCAGAGCCATGTCTAAGTACATATAAAAATGTCAAGTTTTGGATTAGGCCAAAAAGCCCACAGAACCAAGGTTAGCATCACGATTTTGTGGCTATAAAATTTTATATGTTCTTAAAAATTAGATTTAAGAAAATTTGATATAAATTATGATAATTATTAGAATATATAGTAAAAATATTTATTTTATATAACATTTTTTATTATAAACTTGTAGTCTAATAAAATTACTTAAAAAAGAGAAAAAAAATTATATAATATTAAATATTTATAATGATTTTTATTATTAAATAAAATTAATAAAAATAATTATTATTATATGATTTTATAAATAAATTTTAAAATATTATTTGAGTATTAACTATAAATCTCTTATATTATAAAATTTTATATTTTTATTTTTATTTATTTTTATAAAATTATTAAAAATATTATATACTTTTTTTAAGGATCATATTTTATTTGTGTAAAAATATCTTATATTTAATAAATAAAGTAACAGTAAATATATAAAATTGACAACAAAAATAATTCTGACAAAATTTGTTAAATCAACTAAATAAAAATTAATGTGTTAAAAAAAATAAATAACTATTTTTGTTGTAGAAATTGTAGACATAAAATATTTTACATTATAAAATTTATCAATGCAGAAAAATAACATATAAACATATTAAGAATCAATGAATATTTATAAATTTAATTTTTAACTCATTTTATTTAATAAAATTTATATTTAAATTAAAATAACTTATATTTCTAAATTTTTATCTTAATAAGAAATCTGTGATAAAACTTAATATAAAATTTAACTAAATATAATATATATATATATATATATATAATGATAATAAAACTAATTATTAAATTAAAAAATAAAATGATTATAAAATATTTAATTTTATTTTATTTATTAATTTATTATTTTAAACTTATAAATATATGTAAAATTAACTACACTATAGCATTAATATAATATAAAAAAATAGTATGTATACAATAAATTAAAACACATATTTATATATTACATATAAATTGATAAATTAATTAATAATTTAATTTTTTATTTATACATTGATTTATGTAAATATTTATTAATTATTGAATTTCAAGTGTATATTAACAACTGAATTTTTTTAATAATAAAAAATCTATTTATACTTATATATTTAGATAAAATTTATTAAAATTAATTATTTAAGATTCTACATATTTATATTTATATTAAAAATAACTATACCATGTATAAATTTAAGCTATAATGAATTTATAATTATTAAAAGTCATTAAAAAATATTTAAACATACTAAAATTAATTAAATTTATTAAAATAATTATTAAATAATATTTTTTAAAATATTATTTTATCATTTAATTAGTGTTTATTTAAAATATTTATTAATAATTCTTAATTAAAATATAAATTATTAACGTACTATATTAAAATTTAAATTTAATTTAATTTTATAATATAATTATATTTGATATTATTTTTTTATAAAATTTTAATATATTGAATAAATATTTTTAAAATTATCTTTTATATTTTAAATATAATTTTTAATTTATTTAAATAAAATAATTTAATAAATATTATAAAAAAATAATATAATTATTATTATTTACTTTGTAAAACAAGTGAGTTATCTCACTCTTAATTCACTAGTTTTTTTATTTTAGTATTTAAGCCCAATGTAAACCAACTATGGTACTTTAAAGAAACAGGACTAATAGAAATCAATGATCACAGAGGCATTAAAAAATTAGATTTTAGTATTTTACCTGTAGCATATTTTAGGCTAATTCATCAAAATAATATAATTTTATAATTAATTATCAAAATAATAGTATTTAGAAATTATTTATTACAATATAATAGTTTGTAACCAAAATTGGCAAAAGTAGTAAAAGAAATTATAGGGGTTGAAAAAACAGACATATGTTAACTTTTAGTGTCTTGTTTTTTTCTCTTTTATTTCACATATCAAAATATGAATAATGTGTGGTGACTCTTGATGTTGGAGTTTGAATTTTCAAATTTCAATTTTTTCTTTATTTTATTGGAATTTAAAATCAATTTAAAATTTTATTTTATTTTCTGTTTTAATTGAAATTTGACTGTAAAATTTTACCTTCACTGAAATTTGAATTTAAAAATTAAAATTTGATTTTCTTCTTTTTTTAACCAAATTTTGAATTTTAATTTCAAATTATAGTCAAAATAAAAAAATTCAAAATTTAAATGAAAAATAAATATATTTGAACTACATCATTTAAGAAGTATTACACATCAAAATGCAGTGTAAGTAAATAGTTGCTGTGTGAAGTAAAAAGAAAAACAATAATACACCAAAAGTTGCATTATTTAAGTCCATCGGTCTCATATTTTATAACAATTACTAATTTTTCATGTAAAAAGAATTTAAAAAAAATAATAGATACAACATGAATAATGAATATTTAAGAAAATGGTTAAGACTAGAAATGATAATAAGTAGGATATGATATATCCCCATACATATATTTTGAAAAATTATTTGTATTCCATTATGCATAAATAATTACTTAAATTTTCATACTTGTATCATTTGGATATATGTACCTATTACTAGTATTTAATTTAAGAAAAAAATAATTATAAAAAAATATGTTTATATAATTTTACATAAATAATATAATAATACAAAAATTCATATAAATAGCATAATTAATAATATAAATAAATATATATATATAATATTTTAAACATATAAAAAATATTTATAAAATTATTATTCTGAAAACAATTCTCTATAACAAGCACATTCTACTCAAAAGTTGATCATCTCACACTCTCTAACTATGGTGGGGAGAAGGAGAGTTGTTAACATAAGAAAACCTAAAATTTAAGATCATGCTAAAAAATATGCACTTAAACCATTTAGACAAAAAAATCTCTATAAGTTTGTTTGTAGAACTATTTTAGTAAATTAAATTTATTTAAAAAAATAAGAACTTGATCTCCTCTCTCCTCTTACCTTTGATTTTTCCGAGTCTTCAGTTTCCTTTTTGATCTCCGTTGAAGAAGAAAACTGAGATTTGTATGCTCTCCATCAACAATGAACTGTGTCATCGGAATATTTCAACCACCATTTGTGTTACCTTTGCCCCCACCAATGCCATTGGAGCCTCTCAACCATTATTTTTGCTACCTTTGCCCCATCATGTAGATGAGGCTACAATGGTTATTTGGAAAGAGGAATCACACAACGATGTTGAAGTTGAATCTAAAATTTCAAAGTACGTGAAGAAAGAACTGATTAATAACATGGCACAACTCCTTTATAAAATTGAAATCAAAAGATGAAGTTGTTGAGAAAGTTTTTGGACAATACTGAAGAAAAGGTTGGATGATGATAATTTGATGACAAATGATGAAGAATATTGTTGGAAGTTGGTGTGGAAAGGATTTTAAATATGATCACTTTTTGGAGTGAGAAATTCGATCAAAGACTCAGAGAACATTTTAGGCTAATAAAGAAGAAAAGAGAAATTTTATATTTTCATTAGATTAATTAATTAAAATAATACTTTTAACAAACTTGGTTAAGTGCAAAGAATTTTTTTTTCCATATACTAGCAAATCTAGACATATAAGTGATTTTTTTTTTTTGGATATTACGCAAGCATTAATAAATTAAATTTTTAAAATTAAGAATATATTACATGTTTTTCAAAATTTAATAATTTTATGTAAAAAATATTATCAATAATAAATATTTAATTAGAAATAAAAGAAATTAAATAAACAATATTAAAAATAACAATTTATATAAAAAAATTAAAAAATTAATACACTATATTGAATAAAGCTAACACCTTGTAGTTCAATGTTGCTTGATTTTGTATTGAAATTTTCTATCAAACTCTGTTTTTGTGTATGTTCAAGTTTATTAAGCTAATTGTGACTGAAGTAATAAGACTATTTATTTTTTATTTTAGATATAAATATAACCCGCATTGTATGCTTAGGAAGCGAAACAATATTTGTGATGAGTTTGAAACATTTACATAATTTTGTTCTATGTTTAAAATATTTAGATATAAAATAGTAAAATTTAGTTGCAGAGCTTTCAGTTGTTCGAAGAATAAGAGTTTCTTGCAGATTCATTTTTTAATCTTTAAAATAAAAATGTCTTAAATATATGAAAATAAAAAAATTTGAAGCAGATTGATGGAAAGAAATGTAAAGGGAAATCCAACGTCAACTTACCAATCAAGTTAATCCGATCTAAAATAAAACATCTGACACGAGAAGAGTGATAAATGTTCAGAGGCAATTGATTGAATTTTGATGGCTTCCAGAGCCACTGGAACGTTGATTCTGGCGTGTCTCGTATGGCTTTTCTGCCTCTGCGCCATCATTGCATTCTTTCAGCTTAACTTGGTGGACAACGGAACAGTTGACAACAACCTCGTCACAACTCAGCATCACCTCTCAGTAAGGATTCATGTTTCTGCCACTCTCTCTCCATTTCCTCCTTTGGGTGGTTAAATCAGTGATCAAGTTCTTTCCTTTCCCCTTCCACCAACCTTTTATATGCTTTGTAGGATACCCCTTTGGAAGAGAATTTGGAGGGTGTCACAAACAAGGTGTTTTTTGATGTTCAGATCGATGGAAAATCAGCGGGTATGCTTTTATCCATTACAAAGTTGATTTTATTTTCTTTTAATTTGGTTCCATCCCAAAAAATGTCGCATCTCATGGATGTGATTTGTTTGCCCCTTGTGGATTGATTGTGGCATTTTCTTGGATGATGATTTCGAATGTGGTAGTAGATTAAGATGTAAGAAGGGTTTTAGAAGAATTAAATTAAAGGTGATTTGTGTCGTTAGAACTCCTCCGAGAACTATGCATGATGAATTGTGCATCAGTAGTGGTACCGTGATGTTCTCTAGTACGGTCACGGTGGAATGAAGATAAGGGCTGTTTGATTCCAAAATGGTCGCACATTATTGCACAGCGGTCTGATGACTAATAACATGTTTGAATTCGCGTTTGCACATGAGCCTTCGTTCATGTTTATTTCAAACGCTACTAGTAGTAGTTTCTCTGTTGGATACAAATTTTTTTAATGTGTTTTCCTAAATGAAACAAGTATGAGCAAAACAGCAGTGATACCAACGAAGTCTTGCCAATCTGGTGGTCTTCCTCCACCGTTAGCCAAAGCAATGGCCATTATAGCAACAACTTCCATGACACTTGACAAAGGGTTCCACATAAAACTAAAGAACTCCAAAACCCTTGCTCTCCTGTTTATGAACTAGCCAAATATGCCAAAAAAAATTTCAAACATGAACATCAAAAGTTAAATGTACATGAGAAATCACTCTAAATCAGAAGTACACACCCCGATTCATCAAACACACAGAACACAGTTAGATGTGACTTGATCAAGTCTACTTTAGCCTAGTTTTGCAAACATAACCTGGTCTGCAAGACAGGCTCTACTGCACAACAATAATGTGTTTTCAAACATACACTAATGTAAACTTTTGCAACCTAAGTCCGAACTAGCTGCTAGCTTCATGGATAAATGATTTATCTTGACACAGGCTCGTATAGTTCCTTTAAGATTCTATAGGCGCTAGAAATTACAAGCTTATGAGAATTTACTTAAAGAAACATTTATGGGACTAAAACTGTTGTTTCGTGCTTCAGGTCGCATAGTCATGGGACTTTTTGGGACTACAGTACCGAAAACTGTAGGTATGGTATGCTATGGTATAAGAATTATATGCTACAGATGTTTATTTAGACAGATATTTGTTTCGTGTGAAGGATTTGGTTACTAATCTTAACATTCATTTTGTGCAGAAAACTTTCGAGCGCTTTGTACGGGTAGTTAGCTCAACAACTATTGTTGCCTCCCTTATTTGGCATTAGATTGGAGCCACTACTTCTATTGATAGTAGTTTTCTACCTTTTTTAATCTATAATGATCAATTGGGATCAATCTTGATATCTTATAAGCTCTAGGTAGTAAATACTATAAATTTGAACAGCATCACATTTCAGGAGAGAAAGGGGTAGGAAGAAGTGGGAAGCGTCTTCATTATAAAGGGAGCACATTCCATAGGATTATACCGAGCTTTATGGTCCAAGGGGGTGATTTCACCCGTGGTGATGGAAGAGGTGGAGAATCAATCTATGGTGATAAGTTTGCTGATGAAAACTTCAAGCTGAAGCATACTGGGCCAGGTGAGGTTATGTGCTTTTGTTACTGATATTCCATTTATATCCATAAATATGACAATGTTTATATAATTTTATATTATTTCACCTGTTCCGCCTTTCGTTCATGATTTTCAGGATACTTATCCATGGCAAATTCTGGCGAAGACACCAATGGTTCCCAGTTTTTCATAACAACAGTTAAAACTAGCTGGTAATTTTCAATTACTTGTGTTACTTATTCTGTATACTCTTGAAATTCGAGCAGTCTTAGTATATTGTGGTGACAGTTAGAAATATGAGAATTTCTTAATGGTTTTATGTTCTTGGAATAAAATATGATTCTAATTTTGGTGGAAAAGAAAAGTTTGAAAGGATAAGTTGACCTGGATAAATTCCATCTTGTGCACATGCTGATTCTCTGTTGGAATGGTGCATTTTCCTTTGAGTTATAAAGAATGAATTTTATTTCAAACGGAAAAGAGTAGAAGGCTAAACTTTAGACATTCAGCTTCCTAATGTAGAAATATTTTCAGAAAAATTATGTCTAAGTGGTTCTTGAATTTACGTTAAGAAATCAGTAAATGTGGATTCAATGTAGAAATCCTGACTAGTAAACATGAAACCAAACATGCACTGAGAAGAACATGAGCCTAAGAAAAGTTTAACTTTCCAAGTTTTTATCATAATCTCACATGCCTCCATTTGTTTTCTGGAAGGCTGGATGGACGCCATGTTGTATTTGGCAAGGTACTCTCCGGCATGGATGTTTTGTACAAGATTGAAGCAGAAGGAAGTGAAACTGGCTCGCCCAAAAGCACGGTTGTCATATTAAACAGTGGAGAATTAACTTCTTAACATGGTTATTTAGGTTCTGATTGTTTCTACTACGATAACTAGTCAGCTTTGGCCACTACCATAATTTACAAACTCTGTATACTTTATCATTTAGTAAATGAATAAAGTTACATATCTTCGTGTAATTTAAAGCTGTATTTTTGTTATTTTTCTTGTCTACACTAGTCTTGCTAGCAGGGAAGGAATTTTATTAGGTATTGGTAACATTTAGCAATACACATTGGGTGAAGAGTGCTATCGTCTGAACTTCTCTTAATTTTGTTGTAATGAGTTCAATAAAAAAATTTATTCAAGCGCATCATATCATGTTCCAATGCTACAATTTAAATCCAAAGTACAAATGAACCAGAATAAAATAAAATGTTTTCTTTTTTGTCCTATGAAAAAGCCAGAGGCGATAATTATCTAGATCTAACAAATATGATATTGTTTAGAAAGAGCAAATTACAAAATGGTTAAAATTAATGCCATAATCATCCTCATAAACAAGGAGATAGCCAGCACAAGGATTAAGAATTCAACAAACAGGTCCTTAAGGGGAATGGCAAGACATAAAAAAACGCATGTGAGACCTTTTCTCCAACGAAATTGGAAAGAGTGCGACTCACGCAGATCAATTTTATCATGTCCATGCATTTGAAATCACAAGTTAATTTATTGATCTTATAGTAAGCTATTGAATACAGACACAGTATGTGTAGAAAGAGAGAAGTCCAAGAGGACGATACAATGCTTCGCCTTCACCGTCCTTATTGACAATCGAGGACAAAACAAAGCCCAAAATTACCATCACAGTTCTTCAACTTCAACAAAAACAACAGACACATACATGATACATGATACATGAACATGAAGCATTATTATTATTGTTATTACCTAGGACTCAGACACAAACAGAAAAATACCCTTTTATAAAAAATTATTTTTTTATTGGTCACGTCTATTGGAAGAGCTTTTGGAGCGGGGTTGGCAAACGTTGCTGAAATTGTTGTTGAGATCAGAGTAGAGAGAGACAACCTTGGAGATGTTACCATTAAGTTCCTGAATCAAAGACACGTTCTTTACCATGTTGTCGTGTATCCTTGACTGTTGATTCTCGTTTACCTGCTGAATCAGTAGCCGGTTGCGGTCCAGCACCGACTGCACTTGCCGGAACCCTTTGTTCAGCGTTGCCCACATCTCGGGATCGCCGTCCTCCGCCTCCTCCGCCTCCCCGTCCGACTCTCCGGTGGTGGTGCTCACCGTGATCGTGGTCGTGGTGGTGGAGCGGCGGCGGTGCTTCTTGGAACGGTGGTGGTTGGAGGGGTCTTCCATGGCGGATTCGGCGGCGGAGGAAGATGAATGGAGCGTGGTCATGTGCATGCCTCAACTAAGTCTTGTTGGGTCAGCCATTGCAATTTACTTGAGTTTGGTGTTGCTGAGGCATTGCTATATATACACAACATTACGAGGCTAAACTTGTTATTTTTTATTATTGCTTTTAAGAGATTCAAGATAAGGTAAGGTTTTGTATTCTTCAATCACTTCTGCATCTTATTAACTGTGACTACAACACCCTCTAGAGTGTAAAATGTGGAAGTATGTTAGAATTGGGTTTGTTCTATAATTAACTAGCATTGATTTTCATAAAATTGATTTAAATTATTAAAATATTTTTTTATAAAAAAAATGAGATTCTTGTTTTGAATTATAGATCAAATAATTATTGATAATTAAGTGTGCTTTTTAAGTGAAAGATTGAATTTTTTTAATATCTGTTTTTTGTTTACATATTACATGTATGAAATAATTATTTGAAAATAATACTTAAAATATTAATTTCTCATTCTTTATTTAAATTGAAGTGTTTTAATTTACTTTAATGTAAAATAAATACACCACCAATTATATAATTTTATAGATTTTTAAATTTATAATAATAATAATAATAATAATAATAATAATAATTTAAATATGTAACATTTCGCGGAATTGGAATATTGAAGAATACGAGTCCCTTTTAGCAATTGGATCTAAGAGAGAGTCTCACTTATTTGCACATGGACATGATACTGTTCATAAAATGAGCATACGCGACCGACCATAGGCGCGTGCAGTGTACACGACAGCGTAACTTTACAGATGAAAAGAAGAGAACTTAAGCAAAGGGAAGATGGATCTTAGAAGAAAAAGTCAAATGTTCGGTGGAATGCTACTCAAGGTTCGCTTTAATCATTTATTTAGATTGACGTCAAATTTATCTCATTTTAATATCATAAATTTTATATTAAAATATAATTAAAGTGAATTTTTAAATATATTGAATTAATTAATGGTATATTACTTATCAAATGTTAATTAAGCCAGTATTAACCTTGATTCACAGATTAGTAGTTAGTATTTTAAGTTCTGTCTTTTCTTTTGTTTCAAATAAGTTTTACTGATTTTCTGCTATTGATTGTACTCATCACAGTCAATTTGTATAAATATAGATGTCATAAAAATATAACTCAAACAAACATAGTAGTAGCTTGCTGATAAAAGCAATGGAAATGAATTTTGTATAATTTATGGGACAAGTTTGGTTATTTTTAGAATAAACTTTTAGGATACATGTATATGAAAGATAAAAAAGAAATAAAAATCATTATATATAATATTCAATTTTAATCATTTAAATAATAAAAGTGTTTATTTATTATAACTTTGGTCGATACTTTAATAATTTAGAGATGAGATCGATCCGTGAATAAAAAAAAGAAAAGAACATGTGTCAACAGTGGGAGAAGAAGCACGCGACCACGTGCGAGTGGGGAAAGCATGAAGCAGAAAATATCTAAGAGGGTTGGATGCGAAAAGTGAAAAGTGCATTGCCACGACGACGAAAAGAACCGTCGTTCTGCCTCCGTGGATTCAAAAGTGTCTGTCGTCCAAAAAATATCTTACTCTTTTCGTTCTTTTTTTTAATATTTTAATTTTATCTATAATGATGGAATTCATTCGATATAAAAATATCAATAAGATATTAATTAATATAAATAAAAAGATATAATAAAATTTAAATGATATTTTTTAAAAATTAATTATTTTTAATTTTTCATGAAATTTTTGAACGTAAAAAAGAAAAATAAAGAATATCTTATATTTTATTTCACGTCACACAGCTCACAGCTCAGCTCAACCAAAATATCTCCAACAGTTTAACCCAAAAAGAGAAGGAAAAAAATCCTCCTCATAACAACAATCAAAGAAGAATATATAACTTTAAGCAAAAAGGGAACAAATTTGGTCCCGACCCAGATGAGAACCTTACTAGTTTTGGTGATATATTATATTTTCGGCGACGAATATGACTGTTTGGTTAACTCAGGTTAACCTGACTAATTAGATTTGATTTCGGCCAAAAATATCTGGGATGGATTACGACTAGAATTGCCCATCGCTGAAAGCAGCATCTCTTTATAAGTATTAATCACTTTCCAATGTTATTCTTTACTGTAACATTGTTTTTTTTTTATTAAAAAAATAGTCATAATTATAGTTCTTGAACTGGGATTGAGAACATGCAGATTGTGCATGAGTATCGAAAGATGATGGAGAAATGAAGACAGACAAGTGGTAAGAAGAAAAAGCACATTAAAGAGAAAATGATATTGTAGTGTTGAAAGTAAATGCCATATTTTATGAATTCATAATATTATGTTGTTTGGGCTGTTAGCCTTGTTTCTTGACACAAAACTTGAAATACCCTGTTCATGTGCCAATTAATTCAAAATAGGAACACATGAACAGTGGCATAGAAATCCAACCACCAGAACTTGCTTAAGTGTACAGGTTTCGTGGCACACAACAAAACCACAAAGATCCATAGTCAATAAATTCATCTCTATGCTCGTACAAGGTCAACTATGCTTATAATTAGGTGACCAAATTTCAGTAATATTTGAAAATTGCAACACATTGTATTGTATTAAATTTACAAGGTTTAACGTCTTTGTCTTCAACAACATGCAATTTGCAAGTGCAAAACACTGAAATAGACGGTCCTCAATTAGGTAAATTTGTAAAATAGTCTTTATAAAAGAAAAAATTAATATAAAAAAAAATAAAACTTCTTTCATATAAGTAAATAAATAGAGAAGCATAAGTTATAAGAGAAGTTTTATTTATTTTTTATACTAATTTTTTTTTCCTATAAGGATTTCTCAAAAAAAATTACCCAAAAAGCCAAATATCTAATAACACCGAAAAAGCAACTATTCAGTAGTTTTTCTCTTTCTTGCCAATATAGAAGCTATCTGAAATCTGGGCCCCCCCATTCGCCACTTCTTGAAGGATGCCATTGCGGATTGAGCTGTCTCATACACTACATAAAGAATTAGAACAAACAAAATTATATTGAATATCTCCTTGGATGAGAGGAAAAAAGGCGTGACCACATAAATGAAGATTAAAGGCATGTTTCATTTAGCTAGGATAGCGTCTCACAATTGATCTCTTCCTTTGTCAGAATAGTCCAAAATTTGGAACCAGCAGCAAACGCTGCAGTATGTGCCTTGGTGAGAACTTCCTTGTACCTACTCTTAAATGCAGACAGCAACAGAAACCCAATGGTTCTATCGCCAACTCTGCCATAAATGAAAAAAGTAAATCAACAATGAATAAAATTCACAAGTAGTTGGATAGTTGCATGAAGGAGGACACAAAATGGCAAATTACATATATTTCAATAAGACTAACAAAAATGATATGAAACAAATACTTAAAGAGTTGGAATTGATATAATGTAAAAGAAAAATAAAAACAAAAACTAAATATGTACTCTATTTGTGTCGACATTTGAGTGTATACAAGACAAAGGTAGCTTATGGAATTATTCTTCTTAGTCAAGACACAATAAATTTAACATGATGTTTTGCCAAATAAGGATGGCTACATGTTAAGCAGTATTTATTGAAAATGTTCATTACTATGCATGCCGGTGCCACAAGGATGGGTAGAATATTGTTTTGGGTAAGGGCGGGTTCAGAATGCACAACAGAATAAATTGTCAAAGTTGTTGAAGAAAGACCGGTTCATTGCAAAGCCGGTTGGAAAATTTTTTGAACATTTTGTTATCTTACATCTTTTATTATGTTGTATGAGATGCCATATGAATTATGTAACAACAAAATCTTGAGAATCCTAGGCCCATTCTAGATAAGAATTATGACAACATGGCAGCCATATACTATCTTCCAAGAAAAAGTCACAAAACTAAGCAACAAATACAAGAAAAAAACATTAAAACCAATGAGAGTAAAATTAAAGGCAAAGAGAAATAATAAAAAAAAAAGCTATTCAGATAATACAAGCAAAGCAGGATTTACATGGGTGCTATCTTGCAACCAAATTCATAGAAGAATGGACATCTAGACCTCAGGTCCACGCTTGCAGTATCAGCTTGGATCTCTAGCCTTGTTCTGAAATCAAGAATCATGAACAATAAGATTGTATATTTAACACTTTTAAGTTATCAGCATTTCTCTAGTAATATTTGGATATGAATGCCAATAGTGTCGTTTGATACATGTAGCCAACCTCACCTAATGAGATAAGGCTTGGTTATTGTTATTGTATTTGGATATGAATGCCAATGCAGCTTTACTTTATCCAATTTCTATGAAATCATATACATTGATTATTCAATTTTATCGTTATCCATAGTTCCATGCAACACCATGCATTTAATGACAAAATGTACATTAAAATTAAGGTTAAGGATAAGAATTGGCTCAAAAATTCGATGAAAGCCCAAGAAACGAGAGTTAATTGGAAACGCCACCAAAAGCATGCAGGTGGAAAAGAAATGTAAGTGCATTTAAAGTGCTTCCTAACTTGTGGTCTATGTCATGGCATGCTTCATTATATGATAGAATGTGCTTGTAAGTTGCAGAAAAGACATAAAATAATCACTACTTGTGATTGAAACAAGGTGGAACATTGACTGATACTGCTTGTCTCAACTGTAATTCATGAGCAAGCCAAAAAGGCAGCTCAACTTTTGAACCTGTTTCAATCTGAAAATCAAACAAATCAAATGTCAGGTCAAATTATTAAGTTCCACCTAGCAGGTGTTGGTGCCACTTCCAACTATTCTTTCTTCTGGAAACACACAAAACAGGGTCAATGGCTCTTACAAAGTCCACTTCAGAACTAGGATCTATTCCCACTCCAGATGCTGCCTTCTGAAATATAACTGATACAATCTGTGCACATAACATAGTAAAACATATTATCATGATAAGAAATTTAGGTTGCATTCTGTATCTTATAGTTTATATGATGAATTGATTTGTTAAAACCAGCAATAAGCTCTAAACATCACAAGCCACAGCATAATAAGTCTAACTACTGTAGCAAAAGATTTCCCTTATTTACAAAAAATAAAGCACCCTAAACCCCATCCTGTTTTGAATCTGACATATATCGATGGTTAGCAATTTTGAAAAGTCTGAAGCCTACCTCTTCCTCCGTGATAATATCATCAATATCATAGTACTTTGCCATCCTATCCTCCAGCTTGTTGCTTTTACACTTTCTTTTAACTCATTGAAAGAGCGAACTGCAAATTTAAAATATTTTCTTGATCCATGTCATGCATTAATAAATTTATTTAGAGAAAAACTCTTTCTTCTTTAACTAATAATAGAGACAACAAAAATCAATCAACAACGAAAACCTGAATCTGTTCTACAAATGACAGAACTTCATCCACTAGCTTAATATTTAAAATTAACATGATGATACTCTCCACAATCACATCAGTTGTTTCAGTTCCATTAAAAAGAAATGCAAAACTTCAGAACAATGAAAGACATCATATAGAAAGGAAAAAAGAACTAACAAAACTTAAACAAAATAACAAAAAATGTGTTGATAGCAGGAGAAGCAGAGGAGAGGTGGATCAAGCAAAGCAAAATTCTAATTCAAGTTGAAGTGAAAACTTGTTGCCACCATTAACACTACAATTTGGAGCAGTGGAACGCAAAAAATTGAGTCAATCAAAGTCATTTTTTCAATTTGTAAATTTGCATTTAGAGCTGTCAATATGGGCCCATCCCCTACTTACACGAGTCAAGGCCAAAAATCCCATCAAACCAAAAGCTCACAAATCTATGCAGGTTAGGACCAGCCCACTAAATTTAAAAAATAAAATTAGCCCACATCTTAAACAGGTTAGTCTTAACCCACCGCATAGGCCAGCCCATTAGGTTTTTTAATAGAAATATTTTAGAAACAAGGACTTCAAAAAAGAGAAGCACATGTATTCTTGCTGCAAATATAAAAACCAACAGTCAAACAAGAAAGCACAAAGTAGTGTCAAGAGAATACTAAGTTACTGTTACAGTGTTGAGATTAATAATTCCTCAATAGCCCATATGCACAGCACTGACACAAACCTGAAAAACCCAAACCCAATAAAGTAGAATATATGCAATTTAACACAAGTATACACATTATTTCAACATGAAATCGAGAGTTCAAAATATATCCATCCCGGGAAGGAATAATAATACCCAATAATTGTGTTCTCAAAGAAACTAGTGTCATTATAATAATGTTGGGCAATAGTGGCTTTTAATGTTCACAACTGGGCTTAGCGATCTGAATATTGAACACTGTCTGAAGAACATTCCAAAAATTGAATGTATTCCTTAGTTTTGACATCTTATATTGAATGTATGACAAGTTTATGCGGTCAAATTGGAATTCCCCAGTCTAATGGTGTTATACTGCAATCTCTGATGTTATACTAAAAGTTTAGCAACTACATTGAAGCACTAGGTAGACATATTAAATGCAAATGCAGGTTTTCTGTATTTTTTGTAGATCTTCATTTGTGATAAATGTTACCAATACACTTTCAGCACTGTGAACTCCACCAGACCTAGAACTTTAAAGAAGAAACTAGAAAGTGGTACTAGAGCACATAATGATTACATGTGCACTGCAACTATCATTCTTATAAACTTTAAAGAAGATGGAAATAAAACACATAAATGTTCCTAGATGCTTATCGGTAGATGCAAAGCCCTCTAATTTACTGGGAAACTTCCTCTTGGGTACGTGGGATCATGGTCTTGATATCACTCCCCTCAGTTTTTCTATCATATAATTCCAAAGTTTTACTTTGTGTTTTGAAACTTCCCGATATATGCTTGTTGAGGTAAAATAACAAGAAGTGAGCAACTTGCGTAGCTCCAAGATATGTGTGTGTATATCCTGAATCAGCGCATTCAACATCTGCATTCCATTTATGAAATCCCTAATTCCAGCATAAGTATATTATGGTGACTAAAAGTTTCAGGAAATGAAAACTATCACATTTTACCCTCCTAGTATGCTTTTCCTAGTCCATAGATAAGAGAAGTTTTCTTGCTCTTGCTTACAGTCACAACCCTCAACAAAACAGCACGTCGAACCAAACAACGATGGAACTAGCAAACACAGCAGAATATAGAGCACATTAACAAATCCAAACTAAAAACAAATAAACATATTGCAAAGAGTAACAAATCCAAACCCGGAACGTGAAAGATAGATTCAGACGTTGAGACACAGAGAATTAAACTATTACCATGTGGTATGACTTAAAAGCTCGAGTCTCGCAAGGAGCTTCGAATCTGAAAAGTATTGAACGAGCAGTTCGTGAAATACGAAAATCGACAATTTAGGGATTAGGGTTCATCTAAAAAAGAACAGTTGAAGAAGAGATGTTATATTTAAAATAATTTGTTAACTTAGAACAGAATCAAGCATTTGAGGAAGGAAACGAAATTGTGGTTTTGAAATTTGGCGCGTTTTTTAATTTTGTGTTTCGCTGATGGCGCGCGTGAAATTTGTCGTCAACGGATTAACCTGCTAGCCACAAGATGAACCTTCCTATATATAAATTTTAGGTAAGGTTTTTATTTTTTAATATATTTTCAATTAAAAAATTATTTTAATATTTTATGATAATATTAAAAGCTTTTTTTTTAAATTAAATTAATTTTATTAAAAAATTACATTTAAATTTTGTGTTTGTATTAAACGTGAGTTTTTTTTTTAACAAAAATATGTTTTAGTATTTATCTTTAATAAAAGTGTTTTCAAGAGTTATTTTCTTCCTCGTTATGTTATAAAATTTCTCTTGCATTAAGCATTAATATACATTTTTTAAGTCAATCATAGTTTAAAATATTTTTATTTATTTATTTATTAAATTTAAAATTTTTATTTTTTATTTTAATATTATTTAATAAATATATTTACATTTTTTAAAAATATTATTTTTTAGTTTATAAAGAATCGTGTGATGTTATTTTAATTTTTAATTAAAGTTTTATTTTAATTTAATAATACTTGTGAAAAATTTTCCAGTTAATATTAAAATAATTATACAAACAAAGCCAACCAGGGTCACCCTTCTTTCCCTTGAACTATCAGGGCAATGCACAGGAATGAGAGGTGACTCATGCAGTCACAAGCACATTGGTTTATTATAAATTTATAACTGTTTCAAGCCACAACATCATTCAACAAATTAAGTCGTAAAGTTGTAAGATAACAGAAGATTTGTACAATAGATTTGTGCCACTGAGCATATTTCCTAGCAAGCAAAGGCATGTTTATTAACAACACATTCTTTAATACGTATGTTAAAAATAATAAATTAAATACTATGTTTGTAACATTTCTCATATATTAGATAGAACATGAGCAGCAGTATGAACAAGGGCACAGCAGAATAAAGGAGGTCTTGGAGACACTGAAATTATTAGCATGATGAATGTGTTGTGTTTGTTATGGATCAAGTACTCAATGCTATTTATAGCACAATGCAGCCCCTGCATATGACAAATGATGTTGTCTCTACTTAGCGACATCTGGCATGCACATTCTACAAGTACGTGCCTGCTCCAACTTAATTAAGGTTTGACAAAACAAAAGCAAATGCTAGTGTGCTTTGAAGGAGACATAGAGTGCACAGGACAACTCCATATATACCCTTTAGAGTTTTTTTTATGAATTTTTTATAAATTTCTATCGATCTATATTCTAAGACATTTCACAAAATTTTTTTAAGTATTTATTATTCGTTTACATTTCTCTTTATTATTTTTTTTCTTAATAATTAATAGAATTTTGCTAACAAATGTCTTCAGGGCATTAGTTAAGAAATTAAAAATGATAAATGATGATTAAAAATTATGTTGAAATAAAGCAGTGATTGAGAAAAGGTAATGTTCAAATGCCATTATTTGGTGATTAACACACGTTGATAGTAATCTTTAAACCAAGTGCAAGGAATTGAGATTGAAAATCTCATATTTGTCGCTAAGTGTAAGTTTTGAAATACTGAATCATGTCTCATTCATTATACACTCAATACCAATTAAAAAAAATCCTAGTTTGAAACCCAAAAATCATCTTAGGAGTTTGGTATCATTCTATCAAAACAAAGAAGTTTGCAGATAACTAAGAAAGTAAGGATCAATTATATTGAGCTCATTTTCAGTTGAATTATAAAATAACATGCTTTATGAATGAGAAAGACTAAGCAATAAATATGTCTAAGCAAAAAGTAAAAATAAAACTGCTAACTAAATCCTGTGGGATGTGGCAGAAAAGGTTGGCTCCTGAATGGAGGCCAAAGCAAATGATAAAAGTTGATGGCATAACAACTTAGTCCCATTGAACCTCCCTATAATAAGTCCACTCAGAAGGATTCAAAGTAGTTTTGCCATCAGCAGCAACAAGATCATATGGTGAGTCTTCTGAAAATTCAGTAGGCATGGACTTCCAGTGGAGGCATGGCTCCCAGTCAGCCTCTTTAAGCACTCTCAGTATCTCCTTCACCACAATTTTGCTTCCTTCAGCTGCTAAATGGATACCATCACTGCAAAATTCATTAAAGATGACAACAAAGTAAAGACATTTTCTAGGTAAATTTTCCAGTTGACATTAATCTCATTTTACAAGTAATGACTGCATGGTACAAAAGGGCTTTTTTTTTAATATATTTCACAATAAATCAGAACAAGTCAAGCAACAATTTCTATCATAAACATCAGATCAACGTTGGTGTCCGCATCCAGCGTGGCATTTTTTTAATCCTATTTCTCACTTTTTTGTTATTGTGATTAGCTTAGTTATCAAGGCTTGTAAGAAACTAATCAAAATGAACTGGAAGATTTCAACTGGAAGGAAAAAGCAGTGTGGATGATCCATGCTGGGAACAAATTTAAAATGGGATAAGAATGTACTGTAGTTAGCTAAATAATATTTTAGTATCCATTATATTTGCAACTACGTCCAGTTTAGTGAATTATCTACAGTGAAAGAAGCTCAAAGTTCAAGACTGCTAAATCGAAGAAAAATGTTACCTGTCAGAAAAACACGTTCAACAACCTACTGTTGAAGAACTGTTTTTTAACACTAAATCCTGATAGATGGAACTCAATCAAATGAAGACACTAAATGTAAGATCAGTCAAGAGTGCACATGAATTTTAGATTAAAAATCAATTTTGGTTCCTGAAATTTGGGTTGACATCACTTTGGCCCCCAAGAGATATGGGCATCAATTTAGTACCTCAACATGGAAAGTAACAATCATCAATCTACGAAAAAAAACCCACAGGATTTAGTTACTGTATTGATGCCATTTTTCTATTATCAAGGATCTAAATTGATGTCAATTTCCTTAGAGGACATGCCACTCCACTTTCAATCAGTCAATATGCTTTTAAGAAGGAAGATTGAAGTCTTAAACCATCTTGTAAAGAAAGTAAGCACAAAATACTTGAAAAGAGCTACGAAAGGATTTCGACACTGAATAATTAGATTGCAGTATGACACAGTTCTGATATTTCATGGTATTTAGGAAAAAAGAATGATAAAGGCAAGAGGTCAAGAAGCGTACGTAAAACAAGCATTCATCCAGTCATCTCTCTTCTGTAGTGCAGTAAAAAGATCCACAACTTTGACATCCAGTTCCTTGCATAGCTTTATACAAGCTTCTGAGTAGCTTTGACATAATTCATTTGTTCTTACCAGCTCACTAAAAATTCCACTGATTATGAAAGAAAAACAAACTTTGTATGATTAGAACTTACTTTGCCAACACAACAACAAAGTTGAAAATATATGAGATAATATCTTCAGGCTACCTAGTGTTTCCACGCACTATTTCCTCATTGACAGGAGGACAACTGAGAACAAGGATACGCACGCTTTCAGAAAGACCCTGTCAATCAATTCTCAGATCAATTTATCAATAATAGCCTCCCCTTAAAAAATGCATTTGTGATCATCATTGTAGGCAAATAATCATCATATGTATTATCTATTTTTCTTTATTATAAAAGATCTACAATCTGTTGTCATTCCTGCATAACTGCAACAAATCATTTTTCCTTTTTCTTCCTTCCCTAATTTGTTAGGCTTGGGGCTGTTTGACAAAGACACTAAATGAAATTAGAATCATATTCACTTTGCCCATTCATGAAAGGGAAAAGGAAGAGGGGGGGGGGGTCCACTATCATCCAGAGACTATATCTTCTTGATATATCTGTATCTATGGGTCATTTCATATAAAATAATTAATTAATATAGTTACCTTAAGCAAACTATATTTAATGATTGGATAGCCTACTGCTTTATGCTCAAAATAAATATTAGAGGATACAATTATGGAGAGCCAAGGAAAGGCAAGATGTACAACAGTATCTTTAATATAAAGTTTTAAGATGAAATCTGTTACGTAATGTTTGTCATCAGAGATCCTGCCAGTAAGTGTGTTTCCTCAAACTTTATATTTTCAGGTAATGGTTTAGATTCCATATTTTCAAAATGAAGTGTTTAGTTCTCAATGTGTCTGAAAGTGAAAATACTGTCTCTTATTGCAAGATAAGTGCACTTACGTAGAAAGAACCTGGTGATTAACAGAAAATAAATACCTGAAGATGAATCAAAATCTTTCTCATGTTCTCTATATATTCATGAAGAGGCACGTGAGGGCCGAGACCAGACGAGTGAGGACCCATGGAATCATTACCTCCAAAATAAACTATCACCAGAGAAGGCTGTGTAGCAGCATCCTGGGAAGGGGCATAAAGAAGATTATACAATGTGGAAAGGATAATAAGCTACAACAAAGACATTATTTAATATGAATTGAGAGAGAATAAAGATAGTAAGATATCCTCTAAGGGAATATATCATTTTAAGAAACGCTGCACTTTAACTCATAAATCATTTTAAATTACAAGTTACATCTAGCAGCTGTAATGAAGAATACAAGCTGTACCAAAGGCATCATTTTAGTTTAGAGTTCTGACAACATAATTGTCTACCATGTGAATAGTTGCTTTGTGGTACAATACCTTAGGAAAAACTTGATCAAGGACCTGGAGGGCACGCCGTGAGTTCCATCCATAGTATCCTCGCAATATTATGTCTGCCTACAATGAGAATTTATGTATCACCATAAATTAACAGATGAACATCCTCATTAGTATTCCTTCAGAGGAACAGGAAAAAAAAATTCATGAATCACAATAAGGATACACTCGCAAAAAGGGTGCATGGGTACTTAGAAACTAACCAGGACAGAGACATAGCTGTAACCGAAAAGAAAGTCAACAAGAAGAATTTGTAAATTAAAAAAATTGAATAACTTCTTTTAATTTTCTTGTCCAACATTCCATAAATGAGCTCAATAAATGAGGAAATACTTAGTCAAAATGCAATAATAGCAATACTTCTAAAGAAGTATACTAGGAGTTATGACATTCTTGAAGCTTAGTATCATCAACCGTAATTCATGCCCTGAGTGACACCAATTTGGTCCCTAAAAGATAAGTGACACCAATTTAATCCTCTAGTGAAATTAACATCAATTAAGTTCCTTCATATTAGAAAAACGACACAATTTCAATCTCTCAATTCACAGTTTGTGCATAGAAGGATGATTTTGATGTTTCCTTTATTGAGAGACAAAATTGATGTCACAAATTTTCAAGGACAAGAGAGGATTTTTTTTTTCTCTTTTGACTTTGACCAGGTATTCCCACAAGGAGTGGTGGTTATGTAAAGCCTTTTCTAGAGCGATGACTCCAAGATTCAAAGTTTCAAACCCCTTATCATGGTTTGCTAGGGCCTAGGGTCAAGATCCACTTTCACTGAGACCAACCATTATTGTGGGTCTTTCTGCACAAAAGCTGGGAAATGAATTCAGGTCTGTTATTATCATTTTCTTTTCTAATTAACATGTGTTAGTCCAAGTAGAAGAGGGTCAAATCTCTAAAGCATGCAGTCTTGGGTTTGATCTCAATATTCATGTGTATAGAAAGAAAAAATAAACCCCATTGTGGGAACCTAAAGAGGAGGATTTTAGTTTTTCAGTAACCAATTTGAAGGTAAGATGAAGGCAGTGTGAGCATTGAGATTAATTGAGAAGTCATCCCAACATCAAAGTGCTCCCATGGGCAACACCTCTTGCAGCTTAAGGAGGCCTTATCAGGCCTCAGTCCCCCAACTATTTTCAAAATTCAACATCATACATACTTTTGTTAAGAATCCCCCACAATGGGTTAATGGGTGATTCCTATTAAAGTTGAACACCAATTGAATTCAAGGCCATGCGCAAAACAGCACTAATTTACATGTGATGGGAATTAAAATATAAAATCATTTAACTTTTTCAATTGAAGAATTGGTGGGCATCAATTAGAGAAACCCTCCATTGAAAAGTCAATAATTTCGTCAACTAAGAAGAATGCACAATTGCACGAGTCAGCAAGAAAAGAGAAGAGGGGTGAGGAAATGATTCCATACAATACAAGAGGATGATGCATGATACTATATTGCTGACCAACAATTGCAGAAATCAGAGTAAGAGAAAACATAATTGTAGTTGAAAAATGGAACCCAGAATGGAATCAGAGAAAAGGAAGAAATTTTACTTAGTACCTTGCGAGAGTAAATGTCAGAAAGAATGGTACCCCAACCTCCATGGCTGAAACTAAGTTGCACGATGGAGGATCCAAAGAGAACAAATTGAGGCCTCGCAGGTCCAACCATGTCCCTTGTTAATGCTAATTTATCTATCGCTCACACACACAGGAAGAGAGAGAATTGTTAGTTTAGTTGAGATGTACAGAAGGATGTGAAAAACTAACGAGTAACAGACAGAAGAAGGTGTTTGTTCTTCTGCCTGAGCTTGTGGAGAGTCAACGAAAACTTAGTATTAGTATTACTAAATCAAAGTGTTTGGTTGAGTGGTTATGAACAATGATGCCTTAATGTGTGGCAAAATGTTTGGTTTAGAGTCTCATTTTCCACTCTTCATTCACCAAATACAAACAATAACTCTTCTGTGCTCTTGCATTTTGTAGTTGCTTCGTGATGTTACGTGTGGACAATACCTTTTGTCTTTTATTTTCTGTGTGAATATTTGTGGAAATTATTTTTTAAATTAGGAATTGTTAAGATGTTCGCAAAGAATATCATCGTAATGTTTTTTTATAAGGTTTGAGTCAGAATATTTTTAAATTAAAGTAAGTTAAGTTTGGTTTTTTAATAAATTGTCATATAAAAAGTTTATATCTCTCTTAGTGTATTCTTTTAAATTTTAATAAGATTCCCTATTTCAATAATTTAATGTTTATATATATTACAAGATAAGAAGAGTATATAAAAAAATTCAAGTTAAAGATTATATTTTTCATCTTATTTATTATTGACAAAAATAAATTTTTTGTATTTTTTATTTCTTATATATATATGTGTGTGTTTCAACATTTTTCTAAAAATATTATCATCCAAATTTTTTGAAATAAATTTATAAATTAAAAATCAATTTATTTAACATGAATTAAAATTTGAGTATAATTTAGACTTGTCCTCGTTTCATTTATAATCTTTCGATTTATTAAGTCACTGCTGTGAGATTTTGCTATTTAACATTTTTTTTTAAAATTTAATTAATGTTGTTTTAATTATGACTTGATCTTTAATTTCAACATGTAGTTTAAGCATTGAGTCTCTATTACAAATTTTGTTTTCTTCTTCTTATCTTATATTATACTTATTTTAAAAAAATTTAGATGTTATAGTTTTTTAAAATCAAACTCTAATATTATATTAAAATTTATGTATAAACTCATTTAAAAAATACAAGAAAGAGTGGAGTCATATATATAAGTTTTTTTGTTTTTTTTTACAATTTAAACTCATAATTCTCATAATATATAAAATTTACAACCCTCTTATTTGCATAATTTAACTTATTACAAACTTACTAATATAATACTTTGATCTTTGATAACATGTTATAAACATTCTTAAAAATTTAGCTCACAGTAATATCATATATTATAGGTATAAGTTTATATTATAATTACAGAAAAGTTGTATTCATTTTTATTTTTATTTTTCTTTTATAAGAATTTTTCTACCATTTCATCTAAACATACAGGACCACACGAATGAATGTTTTTTCTTGCTCACTTTATTTTTCATTTTTTTAATAAAAAATTTAGTATATCTATAATTAAACTTTTGCAGTATCACGAGGTCTAGCAGTGTGCAACAGGTCACAAAAACAGAAGTAGTAGATATAAGGAAACCATAAAGGTAGAAAATATAAAAAATCACCATGAAAGAAATGTCTCCTACCAAGTATTATCAGTTCTAATCATGACAAAACTTCGATTCTGAGGTGACCTCGAAACTATAAGCTGAGTTATGCAGATGATATAGTGTTTGGCGATTGTTAATCAGTGTTTTAAGAATATTGTTCAAAAAAAGTGTCAAAAAATATAATAACTTTTAACACAATTTAATGTGTTTTCTGATAATTTTATACTCAATGTGGAAAGAACACTGATTAAAAAAATAAGAAAAATTATTGCAATAATGCAAGAGTTAATGAAGCACCTTATCTCATAGCTAAAATATTGAATGAGGAGCAATGAAGGGAACAATGAGATCCAGCTTTCTGAGAAATGGTGATGAGATGGTGGGGAAGGGAAATGAATGGACGATCAGTACCATAAAGAAGACGTTGAGGTGATGAGAGTAGGTTATCCTTTATGACAACCATAAAGACATCACATCTTGCCACAGCAGGTTTTGAAGTTCAGTTCAACAAACATTGTTGAAGACATTTAAGATTTACGAATGGTATCTATCACCCACTCATGTTTTATCAACGCTTGCAATTAATCGGTTCTTTTTTTGTTTTATGGTTAATTAGTGGGCAGTTAAAAGACAAATAATCAACCCTTCTAATTTAATATATAATTTAAAGTTCGAAACTAAATAAATAAAATTGTATTCAATATTTGGAAGTCTTACCTAATTTTCAAAGGAGAATATATTTGGTTTAGACAACAAAAATATTATATAATATTTTTCTAATATGATTCAACAATTTTATATTTATTGTTGAATAAAATTATTTATTAGATATATTATTGATTAGTTGTCTTCCACTGAAGAAAAGTTTCATAATCTACTTTCACCTATCAAATTTTAATTATTATTTTTTAATAATTGAGACATCATTCTTAACAATATTTTAAATGTCAAATTGTTTATAACTTATTATTATAAGATGTTTCAATTCATATTGAAAATAGTTTATGAAATTTATTAAATTTAAAATTTATTATGCAATAGTTTTCAAATTTTTATTTTAAAAATAATAATGTAATAATGATGTAACATATATTTTTAAAATTTATTAAAAATTGGTTTTTAATATTCGTACAATGTACTAGAAAATTATTAACTTTTTATTGAAACGTTCCAACCGATTTTTATATGAGGGATGTTAAATGTGATATGCATTATTCACATTTCAAAAATTTCTCCCTCTTAAATGGTAACAAAAATCAGTGAGTACGACCAATGTTTGTCCAGATGTTGCAACAACCAGACTTTGGAGATGACTACACAGCATGAACTTCAAGAGAAGTTTTTATTAAAAATTATATAAAAATAATATTTTTATAAATTAAAAATAATTTTATATTTTAAACAATTATCTCATTAAACTTTTCTAAAATTTTAAAGTTTCATATATAATAAATTTTATTTATTTTTATACTAATTTGTTTCTTTTATTAAAATTTATTTAAATTGAAAAGTAAATATATATATATTGTAATGTATATTATATGCGCGGTTGCACGGATATAAATGAAAAGTTAATGGTGCATGTATGAGAAATGCTACGGTTATAATTTTTAACAATTTAATTATTAATTAAAATTTATTAAATAATACAAAAATTATGTAAATCTTAGTCTTAATTGATTAAGAATATTTCTTATATTTTTATATTATTAATAATTTTTAACAAATAATAATAAATGTGTTAACTATAAGAAATTTCTATGACTTATGGTGCATGCGTTGATGGGGTTCTTGGTAGTATTTCATAAATTGATCAAACAATACAGTACACAGTACACCAACTTGGAGGTGAGATGTCACTGCAAAATCTAAAGGGTAGTAGTTCTACAATTTGTTGTGCTACAACCTGGTCACGGTTGGGTTATCTAGGGATAATGAAAACCATTATTGAATAACCTATTTTAACCAGTATCCTAAATAATTCACTTTACACTTTTATGGTTTCAATATAAAAAATTATTTTTAATTTCCTAAAAAATTTATGATTTTTTTAAAATAAAATTTTCACAAGATAGTTTATCTTTACAGAATGGCTGTTGTGTGATCCTCTAAATATTATGAACTTTTTATTTAGTTTGTCTAAATATCACTAATTTCTTTTAGTCTTCTTAAACATTATGAAATTTTTATACTATTTTCCTAGAGTGATGGATTAAATAAAAAATTAGTAATATTTAGATGACTAAATAAAAAAATATTTAATAAGATGAAGCATCATCTAACTAAATAAAGCATTAGATGGAAAATTGAATTTTTTAAGAACTAAAAATGTAATTAATTTTTTTAAAAGTTGTCTAAAAAGTTGGAAAAAGAGAGAATAAAAAATTTAAAAGATAAATAAAAATAATTATAATAAATAACTTAAAAATATAAATTTAAAATTTTTTGAATAGTTTATAAAATATTAAAATATTATCTCTCATCTAAAAACTCTTAAACAAAAATTATTATCACATAAATCTCTTGGTTTTTTTTATAAAAAAAAAAAAAAAACTATCTCTCAAACACGCATCTTTAGAAAATTAACAAGTGTTTAAAAAACATCCATTGATATTGAACATTGCAATGGCACCAAAGCTTAATTAAGAAAGGCGTGTAGATTGCTTGGGACAGGGGGCTTCACATTGTAAATACGTGGAAATAGATTAATAGAAAATGGTCAATCAATAGTGAGTTAATTTCCACGCATCCCTTCTAATATTAATATGTAAAAACTAATCAGTTTGAGATTATCTTGCCAAACTGGATTTGCCATTTTCATGACATGCTTAAGGTTTGTTTAGAAAGAAAAAGGAGAGAAGGTATGTTTTGTATTTTAAATAAATATATTTAAAATTAATATTTTTTTATAATAAAATATATAAATTGATATATTAACATATATATATGTATATATATTTTAATTTAAAATAAAAAATATGTTCTCATCCTATCATACCTTTAAAAATCTTAATACTACACCTAGAGGTGTTTTTGCTTATCAATATGGTTTGCTTTGTCTTAACTCTTTTACCAATCACAATGCAAGCTTAACTTGTATACACAAAGGATCAAAATTAAGTGATATTAGATTAATTTAGTAAAATAATCAATCTAATACTATTTTATTAAGTTAATCATTAAATTTAAAATCTTATAAAGTAGATTAAGTTACAAAATTTTATATAATTTAAATATCAATTAATATTTAAGAATCTTGTTGTATTTTAATAGATGATATATTGTTGAAATAAATAAATAATTACTCATAAATTACATATTTACAAATGAACAAATTGTATAAGGTTTATTTCTATAATAATATCATAACAATTCACAGTTATAAGATAGGTATTTAGTAAGGAGGCTTTTCTTTTTAATGTAAGAGTGAAGAATAAATATAATTCATACAATCATACTAAATAGTTAAATGTTATTTTTTTCAAATTCATATAATTACTTTAAAAAAATATGTTTCTTTCTAAAAGAGTCACGATGTCTCGGAAGTGTCTCGAAAAGCTGGTGAAAGAAATCTAAGACAATATGACATAATTTTTCTTGTTTTAGCTTTTTTTTTAAATAAAAAAGATTGGTGCAGACCTTTAAAATTTGAACGGACATATGTCCTTCCTTTATATTGTACGTATTCAATAATATTAAATATTTAAAGTCATGTTTATCATTTTAAAATTACTATTTTTATTAGTAGTAATAATTATAATCGTAATGGTTATTATCATTCATTATCATTATGATTATTATTATATCACTGAAATTGCTCAAATTGGTATACACTGTCTAATTTAAACTAGAACAGGTATACTTTTTTTTTTTAACAGTTAAATTGGTTTTTCTTTTATTTGACAGTTAAGCTGTTTCTATTTAGTACATATTCAAAGGTGGTTATGAGAAAATCCATTGGGGTTAACAGCTAGAAGAATCCGTTAACGTTTGGTAATTTCTTCACAGAAAATGAGACTGAAATAGGGGAGCAGTTAAGAATTGCTAAGGTTTTGTATCTGATGACCAATGACACCCTAACAACATGACACGGTTGTTTATGTTCACTCCTCGTATTGGCCTTCTTCTGCAAACAAGGTAAGGGTATTATAAGAAGCACAAGTTTGACATAGAAGGAAAAGGCCAATTGATACAACATCGAAATCACAATCACAGTCACAATCACCAATCAAATATACATAGAATAAAGGTTGAATTGTCAAAGGAAAGGTATGGAAGATCAATATATAAAACGACACGTAACAACAGGATGTTACAGACTGGAAGTGTCAAATCCCAATTCAATATGGAAAAGTGAAACCGTTCTAGGGTTCTACCTTCCTACCTTTGCAGCCCAAGTTGCTTTTATGTTGTTATCAACTCGTTGCTTATACTATATCCTCAGACCCATCAATCAACCTCGTCTTGTTGCAGAGATTTTGGTAAGTGCATGCATGCATGCATGAATGAGGATTTTGTTTTATTTTATGATCACATAAAATTGTAAATGGTTTTACATTGTGATTAACTTGTGGGTAATTAATTTTAACAGATGGGTTTTTTTATAAGTCCAGAATTTTTTGGGTCATCCCCTTTATTTGAGATTCTCACCCCTTTGAAGTCAATCCTAACTGTTGAAACCATATCATATTTGGGACTCATTTATGCGGTGTTCGTGGCTGGTTTGGACATGAACTTTGACACAATCCTACATGCAAGAAAGAAGGCTACAAGTATTGCTATTGCTGGGATTTTCATTCCAATGGCATTGGGGGCTGGCATATATAGTTTTGCTCAAAGCATGTACAAGGCAGATGAACATTATTTAAAACATTTCAACACAAAAAGAGCATATTTGTTTTGGACATTAATTTATAGTGTCACGGGTTTTCCTATGGTTAGTCAAATCCTTGCTGATCTGAAGCTACTATATACAGGTCTAGGAAGAGTGGCCATAACAACAGCCACGCTCACTGACTTCTACAATTGGGTCATGTTTTCACTGTTGATTCCATTTGCCATTAACAGTGGAACTGCCATATACTCGGTGATAAGCACCGTAGTTTTTGCACTTCTCTGCTTTATTGTGATACGCCCTTACTTAGGGCAGATAATAGTGCGCAAAACCAATCAAAATGAGTGGGACAATCACCAGTTGTTCTTTGTGATCATGGGAGCTTATGCTTTTGCAGCTATTACGGATCTCTTAGGGACACACCCTGTTGTTGGGGCTCTGTTGTATGGAATAATGATACCTCGTGGTAAATTTACTCATATGCTGATAAGAAAGTCAGAGGATTTTGGGGTTGTTTATCTGGCTCCATTGTTCTTTGGTAGCTGTGGCATTAGACTTAGATTAATATATGTTTTATATAAGCAAGGTTTGGGCTTGCTAGTTATAATTTTGCTCCTCTCATGCTTGCCAAAGATTGTAAGCACTGTAATAGCAACTCGGTTCTTTGGTATGCCTGTTCTTGATGGTGTGGCTATTGGACTGGTTATGAACACCAAAGGCATCTTACCAGTGCTTATGCTCAACCTGGCTTGGGACAAGGAGGTATTGATTAATACACACAATAACATTCCTTAATGAATATAACCTGTTTCGCTTTTACTTTATACTAGTATTTGCCAAATTATTCTTTATTACTTAATTAAAGTTGATAAATAGCTCTATTATTCTTATTATTACTTTCCTTTCAGATTTTGAGTGTGGAGTCCTACACAATCATGACTATAGCTATTCTTGTAATGACCATGATGGTGCCTATTGTCATCAATGCCATATACAAGCCAAGAAAGCTACACAAGCAAAATAAACTAAGGACCATACAAAATTTAAAGGCTGACTCACAGCTGCGAGTATTAGCTTGTATGCACAACCCTCGGCACGCCTCAGGAATGATCAGCATCCTTGATGCCTGCAATACAACTAAACTTCCCCCTTTACACGTGTTTGCACTTCAGCTTGTTGAATTAACTGGAAGTAGCACTTCCCTTTTGTCTGTTCATATCAATCAACCGAATCAACAGCAAACTGGTGCACAAGCCCTCACCAAAGCACAAGAATATTTGGAAAGCATCACCAACATATTCGAAGCATATACACAGGTCAATGAGAACATTAGGGTGGAGACCTTTGCTGCTGCCTCCACCTATTCAACCATTCATGAGGACATATACAATGTGGCACAGGAGAAACAAACAAACTTGGTTCTCCTTCCTTTTCACAAACAGTCAAACATAGAAGGCATTCTAGAGATAGCCAACACTGCATTCAAGGACATAAACCAAAATGTCATGAGCGATGCACCTTGTTCTGTTGGAATCTTTGTGGACCGTTGTCTTGGATCATTGTCCAAAGTCGACATGCGTGTCCTTATGCTTTTCATTGGAGGGCCTGATGACCGTGAAGCCTTAGCTGTTGCATGGAGGATGTCAAAGCATCAAGGGGTTAGACTCTCCATGGTGAGGATCCTTATGTTTGGAGAGGCTGCAGAAGTAGATCCCTTGGCACATATTGAGGCTCGTGGACTACTATCTGTAGTGTTAGACCATGAGAAGCAAAAAGAGTTGGATGATGAGTATGTAAGTTCATTCAGACTAAAGGCAGTGAACAATGGGGATTCTATAACATATTCAGAAAGAGAAGTTCACACACGAGATGATATTCCTAAATTCCTTCATGAGTTGGACCAAATTGGCTATGATTTATACATTCTAGGACAAGGGTCAAGTAGGAACTCTTTAATCTTGTCAGATTTAATGAAATGGACAGAATGCCGGGAACTTGGTGTTATAGGGGACATGTTTGCATCAAATAATTTTGGTTCATCTTCTTCACTGCTTGTTGTGCAGCAATTTGGGTTTGGGGGAATGGTATTTGAGAATACCACTCAGCATCCTGGTGAAGTACCTGCAAAGGATGATGGCTCTGCGGCATTTTTTGTGAAGGTAGAATAGCATCAGTGATGGTTATTTATTGGCATGTCATGTTGGCATGGCTTATGCCAAAGGACACAGAAATTGGTTGCAATTTCGCCATGGAGGATTGTTCGTAGGTGAAATTTTAGGTGAATTGACAGAAGATGAAAATAGAATAAATTCAAAATGTTATTTTCACATTATTCTTTGTACATTTCAACCTGTTTTATTAAATTTTGGAAAGCCTCTCTATCTACTGTTCAGAGCAGTCAATAATCAATAGAAATTTAAACTTACATAATTTAATAGCCCGAATTAGTCAATGGCTAAGAGTTTTTTCCGATGATAAATTATTATTAACCACCAGAAAAACTTGTAACATCTTGTGCCACGATCCGAATATCTTTGCTGAGAGCACCCTCAACCCAAGTAACTGAATATCAGACTTTCTCTATAAGAAAAGGAGCCATGTAAAATAGACAAACGGACCCAAATCATCAAAGAAATTACAGTCGTAACCATCGAAATTGATGTTTAAAGTATTCTATGTATTTCTCAAAGCACCTTTCTTATATTAATAGGGGTTTACAACAACAATCTGCCTCACCTAATACATTAATACTGTAATGCGTACAGGTTAAGTCCTTTCCCTGACCTATAAAGTCCATATTTAATCTGGATTTGGAAAATCTAAAATCGAGATTTGAGCAAAATCTCTTATAGCGTTTGCTCAAACATGATTTTGAGATTTCAAATAAAAACCCAAAAATACTTAAAAATCAATTCGTCAATCCGTGCTCAAACAAAAGTCAAAAGTTGGAAAGGAATTTCTGACCACGGAGACAAAGAATATCATAAGAGCTTATTTCTCAAAAAATAATGCAGCAGAAAATAAATTGTGCCGATTACTTCTTCTATAATGTTTGGCTAGACCACGGCAACGCCTTTCTTAGTTGTAAAAGCCACAAGGCCATCTGCATTCCCCAAAGTCGTATTTCCAGGAAAATCTTATCCAATGTAACATTTAACCAAGTTAAAAGGGATTTGCTTTGCGACAACTTTGCCTCAATGACAGCCTCCGAAGAAACCTTTCCAATGATAAAAAATGTCTCCAGAGATGATCCATGTAACTGATCAAGATACCCAAAAGGAAAAAGAAATCTATCATTATAAACCAAAACAGCAACTTGGACAATCTCAAATGCTATTTTTTCTTATATGTGCTGGACTGGCTATTTTACAATTAGACATAAGCTACATTTGTTTGAAGAGTATTCATCAATCAATTGCATAGTGTATGAAGTAGTAAATTAAAATATGGAATTGTATGTACCAGAGAATTATTGACTGCTCGTAAACAGTCATTTGTCTTCAGCATTAGAAGAATCACACGTGGTAATCTCCTTAGAAGCTCTGAGATTTGATGGAAATATTGAGAAGCATACATCTGCAAAACAATTAAGAGAGACATTTTAGTGCTTTTCCTTCAAGGTCAGGAATACAAGGACGTTCATCCTTTAAATCAGTTTTGCAAATTATTATCCCAATGACAATGATTAAGGAATCACTAAATAGAAGTATTTATTAGTCACCGTGGGAAAGCATTAATAAACAGGTGGATAAACTGCATATAGCATGAGTCAGGATATAAAAGAGAAGAATTAAGTATTGCACATACTTTGGTAAGAAAACCAGCATGAACATGGGTATGAAACAATTCACGTTACTAGGACAGAGAAGTAAAGCACAGGCATTATAACCCAAAAAGAACATGAACACTATGACTGAAACACAATCCCAGAGAAAAAATTCCCCTTAAACTATATATCTTACCTGCAGTTCTAATCGATCACTCTCATTTCCCTGCATAACTAAATGATCCATAGATGTGTCAACAACTCTATTCCATGGCCTCATAGTTAGAACTCCAGCAAAAAGTGCATATAAATCCTCCCCGGCACCCAACTTTGTACTGTATTCCTTGATTGCATTAGCATCAGCAAATACCAATGCCTTCCATAGTGCAGCGTAATTAGTTCTTGTTTGGAAGTCAAGCTCTTTATAAAGTCCATGGTCCAATAGAATCAATTGTGGTTTTCTCCTGCCTACACTTGGGACAAAATAAAGATAAATTAACAAATAAAAAGTGAAAATCACAGGATACCAACAATGTAGTTATTGTAAAAATCAACCAAAAAGCTTTACGTGAGTAGACAAGCCAAAAACTACAATGGAACAAGAATACTACTATTAATAGTACAAATCTGCATTAGGAAGATAATGGAAAACATGAAAACCATTATGATATTTGTAAATTGAAAATTCATTTTTATTAATGTAAAAAAATGCCTGTCCTTAAATATTTTGTCAACCACACAATTACAACAACAATCAAGCTTTATCTCACTAGGTGAGATCGGTTACATAGATCACACGATGCTGTTAAGTTCGGTCAAAAACCAAATTTTCAGAAGTCTAATTAATCAAAAGGTCTTACCTACATTCATCTACCTAAATGTGAGGATCCTTGCTCATTTAAAACTACATTTGGGTGCCGATGCAGCGGCTCTAACTCAATTGACACTGTACTCGAGTCATACAGCGTGTTACTTTTAAGTAATGACCTAAACTTAGCACAATATCATCATGTATAATCCGTATTAAATGTTTCATCAAGTTTTACATTAGCAGCTGAAGGCCAAACACAACCCTCCTCTTTTACTCAGGCTTGTACCATCGGCTATGAGGCCATAGATGTAGTTTGTCAACAACACAATTGAAAAACAAAAAATTTTAATAGAAATGAAAAACTAAAATAAATAACTATTTTGCACAGCATAAGATCACTTACAAATTCCTAATGGCACACATGAACACATGCATCTCAATTTTCAATTTGAATCTAAACAGACAGCAGGGGATAGCATTCACCTATCCAATAGCATATCTTGACTAAATTTTTAAGGGGAGAGACTAAATTTTAGATAAAATAATTTAATTAAAAGTATTAGTAGTCAAATAATTTTATCCAAATTTCAAAATAACATTTTAATGTAAAGTAAAAATAGAATATATTCTTTTGTGTAATTATTTGATGAAATGGGAACAAGCATTGATAGAAGCAGTAACATTGAGGCAATAAGCGTACACGAGAAGGAATTAAGGGTTAATTAATCGGTCAGGCATAAAGCATATCATATAAGCCACTTTTATGACATTTCATTTAATAAAATAATGGGGGGTGCCTAATAATATTTTATACATAATAATAAGTAATTAAAAATTTATTTTAGGGAGCTGTGACTCCCTCCCACTACAGGTAAGCTCCACCTCTGCACCCTTCTGCAGTTACTATATTCTTCTCAATGTTTCTGTGAACACCATGGACAACTATAGATGCAACCTGGTGAGTGCTATTTCTAGAACCCCTAAAGTTCCCCAATTTAATGCATCAGTGCAAACATCACTGCACATTTTACTGATAAAGCATACTCCAGCCGTGTTTCAATAGTTTATTATACTTAGTCTTCATGTGACTCTCCAACATGGCATTTGTTAGTGGCAACATTGCCATTGATTTTTCCTTGGAAGCAAATTTTAAGCCTTTCAAATTAAATAAACCAAACTACCACCATAATTCTAGAAAACAGAATTTAAAATGTACATCCCATATAGAATTAGTGCTTTTAAAAACTTCTCTTGGAAGAGCCCAATTTAGTTGGTTCAAGGTTTTTGCCATTAATATCCAATGAGTTAGAGGAGACAGTGCCATATGTAGGAAGATAAATTTAAATATATTTTTTACTTTCTTGTACCGTTAAATTAGCAAGCCAATAATATAAGCAATATAAAAAGAAACAAAACAGAAAGTATTTCTGGACAGTAATGAGTTATAGAAAGAGTTGAAGTTTGGTAAGTGAAGGAATCCTTACCCAGGATGCTACCTTTGTAGGAAGGCAATGGGCGAACCAATAAGTTAGCAGCATGTGGATCACAATGTACAAACCCATGCTTGAACATCATTTCAGCAAAAGTTTGACTAACCTGCAAAATGACAATCACATTTTACTAAATTATTTGATAAACTGAACGGAAGCCTTAGCATAACAATTGGAATTGTCACCAAGTGACCAAGAAGCCACAGGTTTGAGCTGTGGAATCCGCCTCTTGAAAATGCATGGAAAGGTTGTCTAGTATTCTACTATAAGTATGAAGCCACACAGTGGTCTGGCCACTCTGTGGGCAGAAGCTTTATGCTACCATCCTGCCCTTTATTTTGTCATTAAATACTAATTGCATAAGGGAATCAAAATGCTCGTCATTAAGTTGCCCAACTTCATTGACATATGTTATAGTGTCAAACATGTCAAAACACAGAAGAATGTTAAAATAAGACTATGCACTATCAACAGCAACTGACCATTGTACATGTATCTATAACTTACCAATATTGAAAGTTCGTGCGGACTGATCCCAAGTTTCTGAATAGTCTTTACATCATTTACATGAGCACCATCCATGAATTCCATTGTTAGCAGCTTTGAGGTGCTCAGATTCCAATACACTTTTGGTGCATATACATAATTTGCAATATGAGGAGACATTTTTTGGAAGTTCTCCAAACACCTCTCACTGTTCTTTGCCTCCATTAAAAAATCCAATTCCTGCAGTCATAATATTATGAAACTAAATTTCAAATCATGTAGCAAAAAGGGAAAACATGAAGGAGAAAATAAAACAGAACTCAAGAATGATGAATTAGAAACATAAAATTCGGAAATCCAACATAACATCAAGCAAAATTCCTGACTGAAACAGCCTGCTACCACACCATATCCTGAAAGTCATAATACATTGACTATGAAGTCAATCTTGAAAGTAAAAAATAGCAGTAACATTAACCACAAGACATACAAGAACCACCAAATAAGCATGGATATATTATTAGGCGTAGGTATTGCTTTGAAGTTAAATAGAAACTTGCCTTGGGTAAACTTTCACTGATCTCATCAATCAACCACCTGCAGACAGAAGTAAATAGAATATAAATAAACTATAATGCAAAGCAAGCTATGGAAACAGAAGATAAATAATTCATGCTCTAAAAAAACAACTTAGACCACTCAGTTTTTTCAATAACTAAGCAATTTAGCACGTTGCTGATCTAGATGGCTTCTAAATTTCCCATTTTCATGACGCTGATAAATTCCTAACTGCTAATAGCATCATAGCAGTACCTATAATCAAAACTGGGGAAAAACCTATGCAGAGTGTTTACAATCAATTCCACAGTGGCATGATCAGCAGCCGCAGTATCAGTCATGTGAGTATGCTGAACCTGAACATTGACATATAACACATGAATGAACATGACATATTCATTATAAAATATTAATATTCACACAGAAGAAAAGTGATCCAAAAATCTCTTAATAGTATATAATTAAAAAAATAGCAACAAGAACCTTCACAGCGACTTTTTGGCCATCATGTGTGCGGGCTACATGAACTTGTGCGAGGGAAGCACTTGCTATAGGGACTGGATCGAACTCAGAAAATATCTACACATCAGAAATTTAGAAGGATAAATCCATTCAACATAATAGCAATAACCATACCATGACCAACAAAAATAATTAGACAAAAATGGAGCATTTTTCGATGAGGAACAAAACCATTAACAAATACATTATCTGGGGTGTCTCCAAGCTCTTTCTTGAAGACATTGCATATTTGCTCATATGAAGAAACTGGACATCTATTTAACATAGACTCCCTCATTGTCCGAACATATTCTTCGGGAACTAAGTATTCCTGTAAATAAATAAACTAACACCTCAGCATTGCTTATTGTGCAATAGATGGACAACAGCAATCGCTAAAATCACTGTTCTTCACATCAATTTTCCTTAAAAAAACATTAGGAGAGTAAATCAAAGTATACCAACTGCCCAAGATGTTGTCCTAGCTTGATATAAACTCCTCCATTCTTAAAACACAGGTCTTGAAGTTTTCTCGCCGACCTGAGATGAACTTCATGCTTGATTCTCTCCCTCTCACTACTTCCTTCGGGGAGTCCCCACAGTGAATATTCATAATCTAACACAACAATACAGAATCAGACCATCTTAACTAATCCAACCTTCGTTTTCACCCAATTGAACAATTAGCATTATATTTACTACCCTACACACACGCGCACGAATCATAATCCATAATTCAGAAGCAATAATTGAGAACCACAATTGATGAACCATTTCAACAAACTCAACTACCTTAACTACTAATCGCGTTTCAATAATCGTTTTCATGATTCCATGAAGCAGTAAATAAATAGAATTGAGCTACAGAGAGGGAAGGAACGAGAAAATAAATGTAACTTCAAACATTCACAGAAACTTCGAGAACAACGGAGGTTGCTTTAGATCGACAGTACCGAAAGCGATGTTAGCAGCCGTGACGGCGTCGCGGAAGAGGCGATGGGGAACGGTGGCGCAAAGTTTGAGGGCGGTTTCAGGGTCGTCGGAGGTTGCAATGAGCGCCCCCGTGACGCCACCGCCCACGGCGGAGGCAACAAGAGAGAGCTTGGCACATGCGCGCCATAACGAGGCCATGTTATTGTTGAGAACTTGAAGTTGCTAGCCAATAGCCATACCTAATGTATCCAAAGTATTATAATAAAATATACGCATGCCAAATACCAAAATGTGCCATAATAACAAAATTTAATTCAAAAATTATATTTTATTTAGAAATTGTCACTTTAAAATATTATTTGTTATTTTTTAAAATAATTTTCATATAATTTTTTATTGGTTTGTTAAATTAATACTAATAATATTTAAATAGTTCGATAAATCAAGTGTAAAAGTAAATATTTTTATATATTTTATATTTGTTTTGGAATTATATATTATTTTATTTTATTTTAGTTTTGGGAGCAAAAAAATATCAATTACTTCTGACTTACATCGAGCTTAAATGAGGTTAGTAAGTTTAATATTAAAAAAAAGGTGTTTAATTGAAATATTTAAATTTCTATCCTCAGAAAAAATTAAATGCAATAGGTTGATTTATTTAAATAATAATATTATTATTTTAACGTTGTATATAATTTAATTTGAGAGTTTCAATTTGCTTCTTAACATAGTTCATTGACTTGTTTAGAAAAAAAGTTTTATCTATTTAAAAATATTATTATAAAATATATTTTTGAAAAATTTCATGAGAAGCTAAACTTGTAGAAATATTCAGATTCATATCAAATAAATAAATTAAATTAAAGCCTTAAAATATAAAAAAAATTAGATCAAACTTAAATCTACAAAATTTAGCTTCCCTCGATATACATTTACCCTATTTGTTATATAAAGAAATAATTCCTATACTGTAAACACAAATTCAAATGCTAATTGCACGTAGTAAGGAAAAAAAATGCAAAAGGATGTTAAATGTGAGAGAAAAAAATCTATTATCGAGGTGGACTCATTTGGATGAATTCTCAAGTTATAAAATTGTACACATTAATTAGCTGAAAATGTTTAATTATGAAAGAGTGATTATTCATAAATCTGTGCGTGACACAAGAATTTTCCTAATTGTAATAAAGGAACTCGACATTGCTGTGTTTTTTTTTTTTCATCATAACATTTTTTTAAATATTATTTTATTATTAACTAAAATTTATTAAAAATATAAAATATAAATATTAAATTAAAAATGAGACCCACATAATTTTTATAATATTTAATATTATTCTTATTTTTTTATAATTTTTTTATCTTTCAACAAAATATTAAAAGGCCCAAATGAAGGAACCCACTTAGAGCGCACTAACAAAATTTCCGCTGATCTTTTGAAGCTATAAAAGTGTACACTTGTTGACCAAAAACACATCTACAATTTGGGTTGGGTCAAATGGTTTGTTTGGATCGTGTTCAACAAAATAAAAAAAAACATTGATTTATCTTTTTTCTATAATTTCTTGACTATTATCTAAAATTATATTTATTACTTAACACATAAATAAATTTGATCTGACAAAAAGTTATTTCATCTTAATTTATAGTATTAAGTTTAAGTGAGTAAAATTATATTAAACATAAAACGAATTTTATTGTCCTTTTATTAGTACTACTTCACTCGAGGATATAGAAAAGTTATGGTTTCATTATTAGGATATTTAAAAATAATAGATTACCTTTTAAAAAAATATATATTATTGATTAAAATATCATTAAAATTACAATATGATACCCATAAGTATATCCGAGTTATAAATTAATTTAATTTCATTTATTTAATAATTTTTTTGAGCAATGTCTTCAAAATAAACGTCAACTATAAAAAATAATTAAATAACAAATTGTTGTCGTACTCATACAAGGTTTGAATTCACGATTAATAGCATTGATAGTATTTAAAGTAACTGCAAAGTAAATTTTTTTTGGAAAGCCAAAATGATTATATTAAATAAATAGAAAGACAAACAACTTGACTATAAGTTGGAATCAAATCCTGTGACAGTGAGCAATAAGTAAAACATATTTAACGTATTTTTTCTTCAGCTTGCTTTAAAGAAATGTTTTAAATTTTTTAAAGAAAATCCAAAAACAATTTCTTTTGAGAAATATTTTTCCTAATCACGTGCTTAAACGTATTGTAACTTAAAATAAAGGGATTCATTAGTAATTATACCGCATAGTTAAATATTTGCAGTATTTAACTAAACAGTCTAATTAAATATTTATTTAATAAATTCTTTTACACACACAAACATTTTTAACCTTAAAATATATTAGAATAACTATAAAGATGATAGATTATTTTCATAAATTCTTTATAATTTGGAAGATGTTAAACACGAGTTTAATTTGTTGGCATCTAGAAATTCTAATATTTTTAGCTGTAGAATGTATCAGTTGGAATCAGGAATGTTCTTTGACAGCTCTAGGGTTTTTTCATCATCTTAAGAAATAATTAAGAAAGGTATTAAATCTGATGTCGAAAATGAAATATGTTGCCATGTGGTTCCTAGAATGTGGTCTTGGTTGGGTTGCCGACTTTAATTTCCTTTAGATGACGTGACCGGAAAGCTAGGTCGACCCAACCCGTGGCCCATGCCTCATTATTGTCCCCGAATCCTCAACCTATTTTTCTGTGACTTTAGTACTCTGTGCTTGGAACAAAGACTTTGATTTACTTGGGTGATGTCTTTTTAACTGGTATTGATTTCCCCAATTGCTTCGGGGAATATGTTGGCGTATGTTTTCTCACTTTGTGAAATGTTGACCTGCAGTTAGTTGAGGTGAAAACATAACTTAGTTGAGTAAATCTTTACTTAATCTTTAAGATTGTGTGTGGGTGTTGTTTATTTTAGTATGTAATTTTATACATTTTTATCTCGATGTATCTATGACTGTAAAAATAGTATAAGATTTATTTCCCTTTTTTAAAAAATTTCACTATTACCAAAGATGAAAATAAATAACGTTAGAGATTAAGATTAAAAAAAAAACTATGAAATTAAATATAAAAGTACATAACTTTACAATCTTAAAGATTAAGGTGGAGCTTTACTTATACCTCATTCTTAATCTTAATTTAATTGTAGTGATCATATTTGCTTGTTTTGGTTTTTTTTGTTTCAAATGAGGAAAGCAATTTTATTGTATGAGTTTCGGATATATCCATGTATACGCATTGTCAAACTAACATGTTTAATTATGAATTCTTAATTATATTTGAAATAGCTATATAAAGAAATTCATATATATTGTCTGTGTCATGCATACAAAAAATTAAATATTTAATATATTACTTGTCTTAAGACGTCAAAAATATATAAACACATTTTGTTTGGGCTTTAGACATCTGTGGAACATTGCGTATTTGAGTACATAATCTCAGACTAAAATTGCAACACTTAATGCGCACACACGCACACAAACACTTGCATTATTGGATATTTTTTTATTTTTTAAAAATGTTATTGAGATTTTTTTAAAAATAAATTAATACACGTGTTTTCATAATATTCTCTAAAAATCTGTATTTAATAATATATGTTTTATGTATAAAAAAATCGTGACAATGAATCCTTTGATATTTTAATTATTGAGACTTTGTAATCTAAAGTGGGAAATGGGCAAGTCTGATATGGTATCCTATACATCCCTTTCTAGAAAAGGAAGAGGCTTATTTTTATGATAATGAAACATTATGAATCGTAATTATTATGAACCCTAGCTTCTCCGCGTAACATGCGTGTATAGCTAACACTAGTACGTGCATGCTATCCCTTGGCTAATACGATATTAAGGGGCCACACACACAAACACAAAAGGTTCAATTTTGAGGAAGCAAATGCATAGCTTGTCTTTTTACTGATTTTTCATTTTGTGTCTGTTTTCACAACAATCAAAGATTCCCTTCATGAAAATTTGTTTATGGAATCGAATTGCTAATTTTATCATCCACGTTCTTTTTCTTCTTGCATACTCTCTCGTAAGAACACGTAACCTTAGGGAATTTATTTAAAACCTTTAACTTTTAGTTTTTTATTTAATTTCTTTCTATTTTAATTTTTATATTTTATTTTTATTCCATCCACTCACGGTGTGACTCCAAATAAACTAACATATGATAGTCTTTTAGTCTTTTAACTAATCACATCTTCATTTTACTGATATAAAAAATTTTAAGTGTTGAATTTTAAAACTGCAAATAAAAAACTGAAACAAAAAAAAAATATTTATTATGTATAAAAAAACATTTATTTAAATTTTAATTAATGATCATTTTATTTTTAATAATAACAAATAATATTTTAAATTTATTTTTATAATTTTGGAGACCTAAGAGAAATACTCTATTAACTTTGTGCTTAAATCGACACTAATTTCTTTATTGTAAAAGTGTACATTATTTAGCGTAATAAATAATCTATAGGTCTGTTCTACTAAATAATTATATATCATAGTACACCAAATTCAACTAACATGTTTTATTTCCAAAATCGAGCTTATGTGCCAATAATTTCGTTAAAAAGGAAATATTTTTCGATTATAAGAGTTACGTTAAATATTCAAACAGGCTATCAATATCATAAAGTGCATGATTATTTACGAAATTAATAGACTATTGATCGTACTAAATACTGTACATAAATAGAAAGAAAAGATTAAGATATGTGTTGTAATATCTTAAATTTTTTTTATAGATACCGTATTTAAAAAATTTAAATTAATAAAAAAAATATGTGACAAATTAAAAAATATTATTATATATAATTTATTTAAAATTATATTATTTATATTATTTGCTATATGATTTTATTATATATATATATATATATATTAAATTTCTTATTTTATTTTTTATATTTTTTTTATAAATTTTAGTTTTAAATAAAATATAATTCATATTTAACTAATTTTTATTATTATAAATAAAAAATTATAACACAATATATTAATATTATAATTAAATATAAATAATAATAAAATTAAGAATATAAACAAATATTAATATAATATTATTACTTTATTTTTTAATTTTAATTTATTTAATTTTGATTATACATTCAAGACTTAACCGCTTTTTAATATATTTAAATATAATAATTTATTATTAAATAAATTTATTATTTAAATATA